CGCTTGCAGATCGCGGCACTCCCTTCGCCCGTAGAGCACCCTCGAGTGCGGCGGTTAGAAGAGCGACTTGTGAGCCGAACAGCGAAGAGTTCGATCGTATTTTCTGTGATAGCAGCTTCCTCGACGCATTGACGGAGGAAAACGAGCAGGGAAATTGTAAGCATACGTCTATTCCATACGAATATACGACAGACCGTGTGACGCCCCGCCGCCTGATGAGCGGGAAAACATCAGCAATTGTACCGAGGCGTGCTCTACCATGGTGTTTTATTACCACTTCTGCACTACCGTTACGGAGATCAGCAGGGAATGCGGCGAGGAAGTTGATGATTGCCAATATGACAATGGAGCCTTTTGTGTCCAGCGGTCCACCGATCCAATCACAGAAAAGTGCATCACTAATATCACCACCGTAAACGCCAATTACCAATCAATAAACTTTTCGATAGACTGCAGTGATGAATGCAGGGACGCCGTGGAGGCGTTCGCAGAAGAGAGCGGTTGTTGTGTGTCCTATTTTAGTGAAGACGGGTACTACTACGACGACGGACCTACGATAACAGACATTTTCACGGAGTGCGGAGTGATGATTCCCGACGCCTGCACCAGCTATTCTCCGCCGAGGGAGTTCCTAGATTGCGCTCGCGATGTTGGTAATGAAAGTGCTGGTGTGAGCAAAACAAGACCCTTCTGTTTGCTGGTCGTAATTACCATCACAGTTGGCTTGATTACTGGAGAGCCTAAGTAATGTATTGATACTTATGACCAGTTTATTTCGGTGCCACGTGGTGAACGCCCGCGCATCAAGTCACATACGCTTTAGGGTTTGTATGAGTCACGTGTACGGTAGCATAAGATGGGAGTTTTTTATTAGAAAACGCAAAACTGTTCTTCATGTTATTCCTGGCAAACGCAATCTTTCAGGAACCTTTTTTGTACAATAATATAGTGACTGCCATCGTACCAAAACACAAAAACGTTAAAAGATTATGATGAATGTTTACGGCTGTATATAAATTTACCCAACATCATGCTATTTTTGTCTGGAAATATTAGGACAAGTGTGCAATGTGACCAATCAGAGCACGTTATTCGCGCCATTACCGTAGCAACGAATGACGCAATTGTGTACCGCGTGGAGGATTATATAGCCGAAGGTGCTTTTCAGTCGAAATGCCAGACGTGTGTTGCAGCTATAGTGTTTTAGTTGTTTTAGCAATTGAAAGGGCAAGAGATCCTCATGAAATTCTACTCAGCCCCTATTACTATGACTATAGTGTGTGTGGCTGTGTTTCAGCAAATGTCTACAGCTTCTGCGCAAAATTTGCCCTCGTTTTACTCTGGAGGCCAGTATGAGCTGAAACTGAAGGCCCTTAACTGCCGAGAACGCTACCTCAAAGCAGTGAGGGAGGAAATACAACAGAGTTCCTGCAGGAATTCTTACTACAGAGACCCTCCAAATAGCTACGACGACCTTTGTGAAGTGACGCGTGACGACCGCGAAAGCGTTAGAAATTGCTCAGAGACCTGCTCCGATAGACAGAGATACTACATTACCTGCACAGCTCACAAGAATGAGTACGCTGAGATCATCAGAGAATGCGGCGGGACGACTGAAGCACTACGCAATTGCTTGTTCGACAAGGGGGATTTTTGCTTCCTGAAGAGAAATTTGACCCTTACTGGCAGAGTGCTACGCTGCAACCCCTCTGAGTTACACTGGCATAGATTGCACTGGAACATGCGCAGGGGCAGTTGTGTCGTACGTGCGGAACACTGGGTGCTGCGTTGACTACTGGAAGAGTTACTCATCGCGTTATGGCCCGACAATATCCGACATTTTCTCTGCATGTGGAGTGGAGATACCGGAGCCTTGCACCAACCTTTCACCGCCAGCGGAATTTCTCAATTGCGCTCATGAAATCGAAATGGAAAGTAATGCTGCCGAACGGGCAGGTCTCACAAGTTTGGTGGTTATAATTGCCGGTGGTTTTGCTCTGATAACTGCGTTGTAGATTTTTTTTTAAGTAAGTGAAAACTGTGAATAAGTGAAATATACAACGCAAAAGAAACTGAGGAAAAATGATTAGTAAACAGCAAGGAAAATTCGACAGACAACAAAGAAAAAATAACAGGAACGTATTACGTAGGTAGGTAGTTTTTAAGTAAGATATTAAGGTTATTAACTTTGTGAAGCAGTAGTTGCCGTAGCTTTGCAACTTCACGTTCCTTCACATCGACATCCAATAGGTTTGAGAAGTAGTCTAGTTTAGTTTAGTTTGAGTGTTTGGTGATAGGTGAGTGTTTGTCGGGGTCTCTGTTGGAGTCCCTGTTGTCATTTTCACCAAATGAACATGCTTGCAGACAGTGGCATGCAGGGTAGGCATGATATCAAAGCGTTAAGTATACTGTGGTCATGCACCATATTGTGACCAACACAGATGCAGTCTGGTGGGATGTTAGCTACGTTTTCTTTAGAAACTGGTGTCTATTTTTTAGCGATAGGGCTATAGGTAATACTAGCTAGGTCCATGTGTGTGCGAATCATAAAGCTCAGCGTTCATTTTACGTCGAGCGCATAAACCTAGCACATTGTAGCAAGAGACCCTCTCGGATTCTCTCGTGGAAACCGCATTGCGCATGCGCGGGTCGGGATGGGCTGGAATGTCAAGCCGTCCGTCCTTATGAATAATTAATCGTGGCTGATCTCCCTGGGGACAAACAAACCCCCTAGAGGGCGTAGTTCGGCTTTTGCAAGTAGCTAAAAGCAAAATGGACTTCTTCACGGTCGTTCTCCTTTGTGCTGCTGTAATCCAGTGTGAGGTAACTGCTACTACCTATTCCCTGAAAGATCCTTACCCCCTCCCCCACCGCTTTTCACCCGCCGGTCGCGTCGGAAGAAGGGACGCGACCTGTCAACCAAACAGCGAAGATTATGAACAGAAGACAGAGGCTCTCACGTGCCAAGAGGAGTACCTAAAGGCCGTAGATGAAGAAATACAGCAGAGCAACTGTAAAAATACCCAGTACGTCGATAACGACAACGATTATGATGACGGGAATTCGTCAGAGGTGACGTGCGACGGTCCGAGTGACGAGCGGGAAGGCGTGCCCAATTGTTCGGAGACGTGTTCCCTGCGACAGTTTTACTACCTCTATTGTACGTATCTGGGGGAGCAGAACGCGGAGATCGGCAGGGAATGCGGCCAACCGTGGGAGGGGGCGGGTTTCTGCAGTTACGTCAACGGTGACTTTTTGCTTGTCTCGGTACTTTTACACGACCTCTGTCATCAACATTTGCTCCCGCAGTTCTTCTGGCGGTGGACTAGAGTGTAGCGATGAATGCAAGAGCGCCGTTGAGTCCTACAAAGAGTCGCTCGGTTGTTGCGTGGTCTACTGGCGTGGAGACATTGGAAACGACGGACCGACGATATCGGACATTTTCTCCGCGTGTGGTGAAGAGATTCCAGGCGTCTGCACCAGTTTCACTCCACCGTCAGAGTTTCTGGATTGCGCACACGATCAAAGTACGGGCTCTACCGTGGGCAGTGCCATGTCGACCATGCTAGCGGGGCCGGCTAGCACTCTTTTCATATTATTATATAGCGTCGTATTGTCTGAGTTTTAATTAATATTGGCGAGGAAATTAGCGCGCGGGGATGAGTTGTATGCGCATGCGCGTACCCATGGTCAGCGCACTAGAGCTGCCTCTTGCTAAAGCTCAAAGCGGTGTGCGCAGGCGCATGTTTTCGAGGTATTATTCAGCATGGCAGGCTACCTTTGAGCTGCTCTGGACTATTCAGTACACTTTCTCTAGCCGGGCGCGGGTTCTGACGCGTATAACTGCCTGCTCTTTTTACCTGAGAGAGTAGCCTGGATCCAACGAAATTCAAAGTCAATGATATGGTGACATTGATCGGCTCTGCCAAGCCGTTGGACAACATACATCTGTCTGGGAACAGTCTCGCGACTAGGTCACTAGTCTCGTGGAGCCAGCATCATGCGACACCTGGTAGGCAGCAACAGAAGAGCGAGCCTGTTTGAGTTGAACAGTGAATAGCAGCTTCGGCTCGCTGTAAACTTACGCATGCGCACACCGCTTTACGCTTTGAAGGTGCAGTACGTGGAAACTAAAGTCCGTTCGCTTCACCTTGCACCCTACGCGCCCTAGCAAAGACAGCGATCTGAGCGTGGTATATAGCACGAGTTAGGTTCAGTCCTATGTGGGGAGATTAGTTACAAAATTTACACAGTGGTGCAGTCACTCAATTAGGTGGGTATATATGGTAAATGGGGGTAACTCCGGACATGGGACGGTATATACTCTCTGGAAATTATTGGGCGCTGTGCGCGCTCGTGCTACATGACCTTCTCGAACTTTCCCCGCGCCCAATAATTTCCAGAGAGTACGAGCGAAGGCGGTACTTTAATGGTTTGTAGTCAGATCCTAACTGTTCTATATTTTCCCTAAGTGTGTGGTCCACCCCACCTAATCACTAATTGTTTGTGTTATCATAACTGGTAGCTTGCAACGGCAGAGTATACCGGATTTATTACCCGTTGCTAGGTCGTTGCTATGTTTATTTTAGCACAATAAATCAGCTACCCACCCAAGAGGGTGAGAAGGTGAGAATATCCACTGTGGTTAGGGTAAATAACTAAGGAATGGTGTGGATATCCACTGTGGTTAGGGGGGGTATCAATGTTTTTATGTACAAACGCTGACAGATCGAGGAGGGAGCGAATCGCAGAGGCTTTCCGTTTGGAAGTCGAGGGTTGGGATTCTGAGACGTCGCTGCGTCCGAGAGTAGCGCTCCTGGGGACGGGCCGCAGGCATCGAAAAGGCGTAGGCTCTCGCTATCTCCGACAAGAAAGAGGGCTACGTGCAAACCTCTCTGTAGCTGTGGAAGTAGTGCACGTAGCCCTCTTTCTTGTCAGAGATAGCGAGAGCCTACGCCTTTTCGATGAAGACGGCCCGTCCCCAGGAGCGCTACTCTCGGACGCGGAGTCTTGCAGCGACGTCTCAGAATCCCAACCCTCGGCTTCCAAACGGAAAGCCTCTGCCATTCGCTCTCTATATCGCTACCTCGATCTGTCAGCGTCGTTCGTGTTTGCCTGGCTGAGCCGGCCAGCCGCGCGTAATAAAGATAGAACGGCACGTTGCGCAGGTTGTTCGATCACGCGCATCGCCTTATTTGCGCCATTATTGCGCGTGGTTTCCCCAGCAACGACCAATCAACGGTAATAAGCATTTTATTCCACCTTTTGTCGTGGTGTTGCGGTTTATCGGGCGGATAAACAAAACATATACTTGTAGTAATACTTTTTCCTTTGATGTTGTAAGGCTTCAGATTACAACCCCATTTACCTTACTGTCTTTTGATTTGGGTATGGTATGGTGTTTTACTTTGGGTATGGTGTTTTCATTTGGGCATGGTCTTTTACTTTGGGTATGGTGTTTTCATTTGGGCATGGTCTTTTACTTTGGGCATGGTCTTTTACTTTGGGTATGGTCTTTTCATTTGGGTATGGTCTTCTCATTTGGGTGTATATGGTGTGTGGGTATATTTGGCTATGCTATTTTTCAACACTGCACGCCGTGGTCTGAACCCCATATTTATTATCCTTTGTGTTCTTTGGTTTTGTTCGTTTTTTGTCCTTCTGCTCTTTTTTTTTTTTTCTTTTCACAACGTGCTTTATTGCGGAAATTTCTACGCGTACACGGAATTACGCATGCGCGAAATATTGCCACATCCACCCGCGTAATATGTGTTGTCGCGCATGCATTCGCGCACATTGTGTTGCGCGCGTTCTGCGGTGTTAGTGTTGGGAGGCCAAAATTTCTTACATGTCGTTCCATGTTCAGGCATGTCAGTTACACTTACATGGAACAGGACATGTAAGAACTTTTTGCCTCCCAAATCAGTGATAAAATGATGGAACGTCCAAGTGATGACTTTTATAGATGCTCAAACCCGCACAGACTCGAGCTAGCTCTGTGTTGTGGGCTCCGACATGTCTGACTCTCTTCTAAATGCAGAGATACTGTTGACTCAATGTTTCTGTGTCTCTGTTTATGCTGGGTCTCCTTATGGAAGGACTCAAGGTTTTTTCTACTGTTCCACTGCTTCTGATCTCTGTGTGCTTTGAACAGAGAGCAACGGTGGAACAAAACTTTGTCTCTGTTTATGATCGGCTTTCTCTGCCAAATAACTCCCCTTCTCTGCCAAATAACACACAGAAGTTATTTGGCAGAGAAGGGAAGTTATTTGGCAGAGAAGACCGATCATAAACAGAGACAAAGTTCTGTTCCACCGTTGCTCTCTGTTCAAAAGATTGGCGAAGCGAGCCTACCTTGTTCTGCGCGCTTCTGCGCGAAGCACTGTTTTAGCACCCCTCGGCGCGCATGCGCAGCGAGGGTTACAGTGTCGGTCTTGTCTCTGTTTATGATCGGCCTTCTCTGCCAAATAATTTCTCTTCTCTGCCAAATTCTCTGCCAAATGACTGTTCCACTGCTGCTCTCTCTCTGTGTGTGTTAGGATAGTAAGCAACAGTGGTACAGAAGAAAACATCTTTGCCCCTATGTTTATGTTCGGTCTTCTTTGCCAAACATGGAAGAACTCGAGATGTTTTTCAGGCTCGCGTAGTGCTGATATATCGCTAATAGGCCGCCTCGTAGCCTGAATAAGCGTCGACACACACACACACACAAAGACCGACACTGTAACCCTCGCTGCGCTTGCGCGCCGAGTAGGGGTGCTACTAGTGCTTCGCGCAGAAGCGCGCAGGCTCGCTTCGCCAATAAAAACACGTCGATCATATGGTGCAAAAGCAGTGACGGAAATTTTCGCCGAAAAACATGAAGAAAGTTACGACTCTACTTCTATGTGCTGCCATTTTTAAACTGGAGCTGACGGCTGTCACTTGCGGGCACTTCCACGCTTCAACGCATTCCGTACGCAGCCTTCGCAACAACAATAGAGGCATTGTCATGGACCGAAGGCATGCAAACTGTACTCCGTATGGCGAAGAATACTATCAGAGAGTGGAGGCTCTTTGTCAAGAAAGGTATGTGGCAGCTGTAAGGCAAGTAATGGAACAGAGCTATTGCCGGAATATCCTAGCGGCCGACAGCCACTACGATTGCGGCTACTACTTGTTACCCTGCGATACTCCAGCCAACGATCGAGAAAACGTCCCCTACTGTACGGATGAATGCTCTGAGAGACAACTCTTCTATGTTTTCTGCACAACAATAGGCGAGCAGTATTCAGATTTAAACAAAGAATGCGGTAGACACCCGCAGTACGACGCGTCAGTGTACTGTGGGTATGACAACGGAGATTTTTGCGCCACGAAGTACAAGTCGACCCAGTCTTTGCTAAAGAAGTGTTCAGTCAGTAGTTCAATGGGGTCTGGCGAGTTTGTATGCAACGATAATTGCAAAAATGCCGTAGAGACGTACGTGGCGGAGAGTGGCTGTTGCGTGGACTACTGGAAGGACGAGCAAGACTACAGCGATGGAGGGATCTACTACTACTACGACCTACTTACGGTATCGGACATATTTTCCGCTTGCGATGTAGACATCCCCGAGGAATGCATTGTCGATTTCAACCCGCCAAATGAGTTCCTCGATTGTGCTCGAGATGCAAGTACGATCAATCGAAGTTCAACGCAGCTAGCCAGTGTTTTCGTTTTGGTGTCTGCAAGTATCGGCTTCATCGCTTACTGAACAGTTTTATAGAGTGGTAATCAAGTTTGAGTACTTCCTAGCCGCCGTACACAGATAGAGCATGGCTACGTAGCACACACTTTCGCTTAACAATTATTGTGTAACCTCATAGCATATATTTTAACTGTCAGACAGCAACCAATACACAAGAATATTGCGAAGCGAGCCCACCCATTATATCGGTCGAGAGCTGACACTACCGTAATGTTCTAGACGTGATTATAGGGTGAATGCAGGGCATTTTTGGCGAGCGGGAGCGAGCACCCAATGACTGTATCCTGAACGAACATTCCTTGCTTGTTTCCAACTTGCACTTTCGAACCATGCTGATTTGGAAGAGGTATAATTATACAGCCTCGGTGAGGCACCGCAGCGAATGCCGTCGAATGGAGAAGAGTTCCCTCGCTGGCTACAGGGGTGTTGATGTTGAAATAGATTGGAGCTGCAAATGCAGCCCCATAGATCTCCTTGTGGCTAGCTACACTATAATAAGTGATCATTGATGATTGTTTACAGAAACTTGTGAGACAGTGGAGACCAGACAGACGACAGCCGACCCGGCGCTGGATAAACGGGCGTCAGCGCTCAGGAGATTCAGTGGCGCTCAATGCAGCGCCATAGCGCCAGATATGCACCCCTGGCCGCCGCTAGATCGGCGCACATCGCGAGGCAGCGTATAAAAGATGTGTAAACATTTTTAAGAAGCGCGTAATCCTGACGCATGCGCACTTACGTAAGGACGGACGGAATAATCGCACCGTTCGAACTCATTAGGTAGGTTGGCTCGCTCCCGCTCGCCTGATTGAACTGCGCTCGCTCGCCAACAATGTGTTGAATAGGAGACAGAGTTTTACAAAAACAGTGGAGGTTTGTTGTCTGTAATTTTTGATATTATTACCTCCAAGGGAGACTAACTTGTACGTCGTGGTATTGTTTGTTGTCTGCCTTGCATTCGATTTTTATTGGCGAGCGAACGAAGCGAGCCGTTTCTTGACGGCGCTGGCTGCACAGGGGCACTGCACATGCCGTAATGTTTCACGTGATTCTGATGGAAATTTTCGCCGAAAACCTGAAGGAAGTTATGACTCTACTTCTCTGTGTTGCCATTATTCAACTGGAGCTGATGGCTGTCGCAGCCTATTGGGGGAGATTAGGGTCAAATTACACACACCAACGTTCGTTGAATAAGATAGTCGCAATACGTACATTTGGGTACACACTTTTTTAATTTGGGTAGCTACCCAGTTCTCATGTTTGGTAAACACACTTTTTATTTGGGTATAATAGTACCCAGTTTTCATTTGGGTATGCACTTTTTATTCGGATTCTGTCAATTGTATAGCTACATAATGGAGTTTTCCGCAACCTCAGTCACATTATTTTTCTATTATTACAAGCATGATGATAACTTTATTGTTAATTTTATTATATCTGACTCACTCAACCTTGCCTACTCTTCTATTGGTTATAATTGCTTGTATGGTAACTCTTATGATTCACAAACAGCAAATACTATAAGATTCTATCGTCATATGTATGGTACTCATTCGCCTTTTGAACATTACATTTCTAACATTTCCTCTTAATATTGGCGAGGAAATTAGCGCGCGGGGATGCGTTTTATGCGCATGCGCGTACCCATGGTCAGCGCACTAGAGCTGCTTCTTGCTAAAGCACAAAGCGGTGTGCGCATGCGCATGTTTTCGAGGTATTTTTCAGCATGGCAGGCTACCTTTGAGCTGCTCTGGACTATTCAGTACACTTTCTCTAGCCGGGCGCGGGTTCTGACGCGTATAACTGCCTGCTCTTTTTACCTGAGAGAGTAGCCTGGATCCAACGAAATTCAAAGTCAATGATATGGTGACATTGATCGGCTCTGCCAAGCCGTTGGACAACATACATCTGTCTGGGAACAGTCTCGCGACTAGGTCACTAGTCTCGTGGAGCCAGCATCATGCGACACCTGTAGGCAGCACAGAAGAGCGAGCCTGTTTGAGTTGAACAGTGAATAGCAGCTTCGGCTCGCTGTAAACTTACGCATGCGCACACCGCTTTACGCTTTGAAGGTGCAAACGCTGTACGTGGAAACTAAAGTCCGTTCGCTTCACCTTGCACCCTACGCGCCCTAGCAAAGACAGCGATCTGAGCGTGGTATATAGCACGAGTTTCGTTCAGTCCTATGTGGGGAGATTAGTTACAAAATTTACACAGTGGTGTAGTCACTCAATTAGGTGGGTATATATGGTAAATGGGGGTAACTCCGGACATGGGACGGTATATACTCTCTGGAAATTATTGGGCGCTGTGCGCGCTCGTGCTACATGACCTTCTCGAACTTTCCCCGCGCCCAATAATTTCCAGAGAGTACGAGCGAAGGCGGTACTTTAATGGTTTGTAGTCAGATCCTAACTGTTCTATATTTTCCCTAAAACTGTTCTATATTTTCCTAACTGTTCTATATTTTCCCTAAGTGTGTGGTCCACCCCACCTAACCACTAATTGTCTGTGTTATCATAACTGGTAGCTTGCAACGGCAGAGTATACCGGATTTATTACCCGTTGCTAGGTTGTTGCTATGTTTATTTTAGCACAATAAATCAGCTCAATGTTTTTATGTACAAACGCTGACAGATCGAGGAGGGAGCGAATCGCAGAGGCTTTCTGTTTGGAAGTCGAGGGTTGGGATTCTGAGACGTCGCTGCGTCCGAGAGTAGCGCTCCTGGGGACGGGCCGCAGGCATCGAAAAGGCGTAGGCTCTCGCTATCTCCGACAAGAAAGAGGGCTACGTGCAAACCTCTCTGTAGCTGTGGAAGTAGTGCACGTAGCCCTCTTTCTTGTCAGAGATAGCGAGAGCCTACGCCTTTTCGATGAAGACGGCCCGTCCCCAGGAGCACTACTCTCGGACGCGGAGTCTTGCAGCGACGTCTCAGAATCCCAACCCTCGGCTTCCAAACGGAAAGCCTCTGCCATTCGCTCCCTAGATCGCTACCTGGATCTGTCAGCGTCGTTCGTGTTTGCCTGGCTGAGCCGGCCAGCCGCGCGTAATAAAGATAGAACGGCACGTTGCGCAGGTTGTTCGATCACGCGCATCGCCTTATTTGGGTGGATGCGCCATTAATGCGCGTGGTTTCCCCAGCAACGACCAATCAACGGTAATAAGCATTTTATTCCACCTTTTGTCGTGGTGTTGCGGTTTATCCGCCCTCGGGGAGTCGGGCGGATAAACAAGCAACACCACTCCAAAAGGTGTAATAACATATACTTGTAGTAATACTTTTTCCTTTGATGTTGTAAGGCTTCAGATTACAACCCCATTTACCTTACCGTCTTTTTCGGGTATGGTGTTTTCATTTGGGTATGGTGTTTTCATTCGGGTATGGTGTTTTCATTTGGGCATGGTCTTTTACTTTGGGTATGGTGTTTTCATTCGGGTATGGTGTTTTCATTTGGGCATGGTCTTTTACTTTGGGTATGGTGTTTTCATTCGGGTATGGTGTTTTAATTTGGGCATGGTCTTTTACTTTGGGTAAGGGTTACAGTGTCAGTCTTGTCTCTGTTTATGATCGGCCTTCTCTGCCAAATAACTTCCCTTCTCTGCCAAATGACAGTTCCACTGCTGCTCTCTGTGTGTGTGTGTTAGGATAGTAAGCAACAGTGGAACAGAAGAAAACATCTTTGCCCCTAGATCTGTATATGCTCGGTCTTCATTGCCAAATATGGAAGGACTCGAGACGTTTTTTTTCTGTTCCACTGCTGTTCTCTGTGTGTGTTAGGATAGTAAGCAACAGTGGAACAGAAGAAAACATCTTTGCCCCTAGATCTGTATATGTTCGGTCTTCTTTGCCAAACATGGAAGAACTCGAGATGTTTTTCAGGCTCGCGTAGTGCTGATATATCGCTAATAGGCCGCCTCGTAGCCTGAATAAGCGTCGACACACACACACACACACACACACACAAAGACCGACACTGTAACCCTCGCTGCGCTTGCGCGCCGAGTAGGGGTGCTACTAGTGCTTCGCGCCGAAGCGCGCAGGCTCGCTTCGCCAATAAAAACACGTCGATCATATGGTGCAAAAGCAGTGACGGAAATTTTCGCCGAAAACATGAAGAAAGTTACGACTCTACTTCTGTGTGCTGCCATTTTTAAACTGGAGCTGACGGCTGTCACTTGCGGGCACTTCCACGCTTCAACGCATTCCGTACGCAGCCTTCGCAACAACAATGTCATGGACCGAAGGCATGCAAACTGTACTCCGTATGGCGAAGAATACTATCAGAGAATGGAGGCTCTTTGTCAAGAAAGGTATGTGCCAGCTGTAAGGCAAGTAATGGAACAGAGCTATTGCCGGAATATCCTAGCGGCCGACAGCCACTACGATTGCGGCTACTACTTGTTACCGCTGCGATAGCTCCAGCGCAACGATCGAGAAAACGTCCCCTACTGTACGGATGAATGCTCTGAGAGACAACTCTTCTATGTTTTCTGCACAACAATAGGCGAGCAGTATTCAGATTTAAACAAAGAATGCGGTAGACACCCGCGGTACGGCCCGTCAGTGTACTGTGGGTATGACAACGGAGATTTTTGCGCCACGAAGTACAAGTCGACCCAGTCTTTGCTGAAGAAGTGTTCATCAATGAAGTCTGGCGAGTTTGAATGCAACGATAATTGCAAAAATGCCGTAGAGACGTACGTGGCGGAGAGTGGCTGTTGCGTGGACTACTGGAAGGACGAGCAAGACTACAGCGATGGAGGGATCTACTACTACTACGACCTACTTACGGTATCGGACATATTTTCCGCTTGCGATGTAGACATCCCCGAGGATGCTTGTCGATTTCAACCCGCCAAATGAGTTCCTCGATTGTGCTCGAGATGCAAGTACGATCAATCGAAGTTCAACGCAGCTAGCCAGTGTTTTCGTTTTGGTGTCTGCAAGTATCGGCTTCATCGCTTACTGAACAGTTTTATAGAGTGGTAATCAAGTTTGAGTACTTCCTAGCCGCCGTACACTGATAGAGCACGGCTACGTAGCTACACCGCAAAGCGGCATTTTGTTTCGCTTAACAATTATTGTGTAACCTCATAGCATATATTTTAACTGTCAGACAGCAACCAATACACAAGAATATTGCGAAGTTTCAACGCAGCTAGCCAGTGTTTTCGCTTTGGTCTCTATCGGCTTTATCGCGTATCTCTGAAGAGTTTACTTACAGAACGTTGATAATTATAGCTAGCTAATCAATATATACTTCCTATCTGATAGTGCGTTGCCACGTACACTGCCAAGCGGCCTTTTGTTTGGCTTAGTAGTGATTTTCGGCGCACGCGGGAGCTGAATACAGTAGTGTATCCTGTTTTTATTGGCGAGCCTCCCTAATCACGATTACAAATTTTACGCCGTGTGGTGCAAAGGGCAAAGGGCAAAGGGCAAAGGGCAAGCCCACTTCGACGAGAATCATGGAGCTATTTCGTGCTTTACTTTTGTGTTCTGCTATCGTACAGCTGAAGCTAGTTTCCATTACCGCCTGCTACTCTAGTCCGAACTGTTCTGCCAAAGCCGAAAGCCGAAGGGACGTCGAGAAAGTTTGCACCAACGAAGAATACTATCGGAAAACCGGCGCTCTTTTTTGCCAAATGAGTTATCTCACAACTCTGAAGGAAGGAATACAACAAAGCAGCTGTAAGGTAAACGTGGGAGATGACATCCACTTTGAAAAAACCTCGCCACCCTGCAAATTTCCAGAAGACGAACGACACGATGTCCGCTACAACTGCTCGGAGGACTGCTCGAGAAGGTTTCTTCACTTCTTATTCTGCACAACTATAGGGAAACAGTATGCAGATGTTAGCCAAGAGTGTGGTATAACAAATTCTCCCCATTTCTACTGCGGGTTCGACAAGGGAGATTTTTGTGTCATGAAGTATAACAAGACAAAGTCTTTGCTAGAGCAGTGTTCTCCTCGCTCTGACGGACACAAAATAGTTTGCAGCCAGAGTTGCAAAATGGCTGTGGAGACCTACGCCGCGGAGTGCGGTTGTTGCGTGGACTACTGGAAAAGCTACGACGAAAACGGCGGAACAACAGTATCGGACATACTTTCTGCGTGTGAGATGGGGGTTCCTGACCGATGCAATGTCGATTATAATCCACCGAGGGATATTCTCCACTGTGCTCGTGATGAAAGTGCGATCGACAGAAGTGCTGCTAACCTGGCAAGCCTGATGATCGTCCTGGTTTCCGCCAAAATTGGTCTGGCTGTGGGTCTTTGAACATTTTTAGCTAATGGCAATTACCAGTATTTTGGACATAATAATACGGCTGTGGCGAGCGCGCGCGTATACGATTGCACGTGATGCTACGCGCTTGGCGCTCGCTCGCCAAAACTATTGAAGACCAAGAATCTTTTTTACGGTTGATGGAGTGTCCAATGACGTGTATGGGAGAGATCGAACTTCGCTTAGGACCTGCTCAGCTCATTTTTAGCGAGACGCACGTGAATTTCAATTAGGTGGGCGGATTCGCTCGCCCAGCACAAGCAGCGTATATACAAGACATTGATAAGCCCTTTGACAAGAGATGATCTCTGCACTATAACTATGTATGCAGCTATAGTTATTACCCATGGGAATTACGTGACACCAGGACAGCATGTAATCTAGCTGCTGTTGGGTATAATAGGTCTCACGCAAGACAGTTCAAACATCGATCAGCGACATGAAGTTAGTCTTCGCCTTTTTGTTGTGTGCTCCAGTTATTCTACTGCATGTTACGGCTTTAGCCTACCAAGTTCCCTATATACTGCAGGACCTTGCACGCCGTATCCCTCGTGATTCTGTTGCCCCGAAGCAAGCGAACACTACTTGTACTCCATACAGCAGAGAATACAACGCAAGAATAGCCGGTCTCTCGTGCCAAGAGGACTTTAAAAGAGCTGTCAAGGAAGACACAGAGCAGAGCAACTGCAAGAACACGTACTATAATACCGTCGACTTCAGTCACTATGACTACGATTATGACAACAACACTCATTCGCCATCTTGCGAACTTCCGCGCGATGAACGTGAAAATGTCGGCTGGTGTTCGATACCATGCTCGATGAGAGTGTACGGCTTTCTGTTGTGCGAAGGCAGTGCGTACAGGTAAATAGGGAATGTGGACACCAGAATGGTCAGACATTTGCGCATTTGACAAGGGAGATTTCTGTTTTTTCCAAGAGCTACCTGAGAGACGCTTTGCTGGAAGACTGCTCAACACTTTTATTACCCGATTCTTCCGACACAGGATGCACTGAGAGATGCAGAAACGCGGTCGAGACGTACGTGAACATGAGCGGCTGTTGTGTAATAATTATACGGGAGTAGCGCCTTGGGTGCATATGGCAGCGGATATGAGAACGCAATAGAGGACATCTTCTCCGCCTGTGGAGTTGAGATTCCGGAACCATGTACCTACTCTCCTCCGCCGAAGGAATTTCTCGATTGCGCCCGCGAAAGTGAAAGTGCTGCCGAGCCGGCGGTAAGCCAAGCTGTCGGCGTGGTCCTCGTTATTGTGTGTACGATCCTTGGAATGAACTGACGGACTTTGTGCAATGCGGTGTAGCTACAGTGGCAAACAAACTGTAATTCTTTCCTTTGCATGATTCTAGCTATAGTCTACGTACTGCCGAAGAAGATCCGCATGGGTGCACGCACGGTTGATTTACTACATACCCTATTAGGCTTGTGACTATACAAGCGTCGCTTGGCAATGCAGTCATGATGAACTATCAGTAAGTAATTAAGGACTTTGCCCGGGTCAACTAGGTCCTGTGATTGCTGGATACGTCATAAACCTTTGAACTGAACTCTAGTAGCTATATTCGAAAATTAAAATATTCTTGAACCATTGAGCTGAACTCCAAATAATCAGTTCTTGAAACAGCCTACGTACATCACTACCACGATGTTAGTCTATTTACACATGCTCATCTTTGCCTTTCTGGTGTGAGCGGCATTTATACGTCGAGATCTACTTGCCATGGTTGGCGGACCATCTGGCGGCTCTGGTTTACTTTGGCAAAAGCCACGGACCGTGACTACAATACCAACCTTACCTGACCCTATTGACCGAGTTGTGAGGGCGAAGTCCGAACCTGTGGATATAGGTCCACCGCATCCTCTATCATCATTCAAGCCTAATTCATTCTGTACCCTGTCCTTGTCAGCGCACTCTAAAAACGTCGCTCAGGAATGAGATAATCGTCTCTTTCCTAGGTCAGTGGACCCATTATCACAACTCAAGTAATTTTTTTTGGGGTTCACAACCTTTACTGTTTCCTCCGGAGGAGCAAGTTGCGTGCGTTGCTGCAACTGCTATAAAAGTCATGACAGTTTCTGGTAGATCACAATCTAAAAGGAGACGGAGCGATAGATCACAACCTTACAGGGGAGGATATAGCTATATACCACTTCGACTGAAGTACAGAACGACATGAAGTCAAGCATCGCCTTTCTGCTGTGTGCAACTGTTCTTCAACTGCACGTTGAGACGGCTCTGTCCTACACAGCTCCCTATCTCAAGAACTTCTTGCAAAGCCGCCATGCTCGTAATGGACCAGTCGGCATCGAGCGGAGGCAAGCGCACACAACTTGCAGCAGCGAAGAATATTATGCAAGATTAGATGCTCTCTCGTGCAGCGAAGATTACTTACTTCAACGCTTTAAAGGAAATAATTGATCAGAGCAAATGTAAATTGGAAGACGAAAGCGACTCTGACGACGATTATTACGACTCGCAATCTTGCGAACTCTAACCGCCACGTGATGAACGACAAAACGTCGGCTCCTGCACGGAATCATGCTCACTGAGGGCAGGCGCCTATGCGTTTTGCACGTCTTTGCGTGAGCAATATGCGGAGATAAACAAAGAGTGCGGACAACCCAGTACGGGACTATGCGGAATTGATAAGGGAGACTTTTGCGCCTTTAAGATCGACCCTACTACAGATACTTTGGCTGAAGAGTGTGCGTCCTTTTTTCTGGATTCCTCTGAAACGCAATGCACCGAGAACTGCAGACAAGCCCTGGAGATGTACGTGGACCAGAACGGTTGCTGTGTAACATTCGTAAATAGCGTCCTGGCGAGCTTCGAGGTGAACGTAGCGGACATTTTCTCGGCCTGTGGGATTGAGATCCCGACGCCTGTACCTACTCCCCTCCACCGAAGGAATTTCTCAGTTGCACCCAACAGAGCTCTACTGATGGGATTGGCCCCGCCAGTGTGGTGGTCATGATAAGCACCTTCATCAGTTTGATTGTCGGAAAATTCTAAAACTCTTGTTAAATATTTATACACTTCATTAGAGATAAAGATTAGAATAATAGTATGTAGTTAAACAGTCTGTTGAATTGCTCATTAGATGTACATCACCATTTGTGAATTAGTTTTGGTACCATGTGCAGGATTGGGTACCATAGAAATGTACTCCTCCCCTGTTCCATCCTCTGATTTCCCATCTGTTGGGTTCAGTACAGCTGCGGTGGCTGAAGGACGGGGTAGAGTGGAGGGAATGTTGTAGTGCTCGTTTTGATCTTGACGAGGGGGGGCACTATCATAGGATACGTTGGTTGTTAGGTTGTCAGTGGCGTATATCGGAGGAGGGAGCGGTGCGGGAGGTCTCTCTTGTGACTCTTTGCTGGAAGACTGAGTGTTGATGTGGTCATAGTAGTGGACAGTATCCACCCTCTCAAATTTGCCAGACCCTGTATGCTGCGCTGTGGAAGATAGATCTCGTTGGTCAGCAGTTGACGTCATCTTGGTGGTTGTCGTCTTGATAGTTTTGCTGACAGGTGGAATTTTTTGATGCCTGTAGGGAACATAACAGAACTCTGCAATGCATGAGAGGGCCCCTCAGATTCAATAGTTTCCTTGAACAGAGTGTTTAATTGTATGTGGCGAAATAACTAAAAATATACTCTGAATATCTAGCTACATCAATTAGCCTAACAACTTTCCACCAAATGTGCAAGATGCTTGTCTCACAATTGAAAAATTTCTAACTTTTACTTCATGCAGTCAAATGGTCTGTAGAACTATACTTTTTGCGACAGCAGCAGTAGAACACGACTGGAACTAAGGCAACCACCAGTAACAGAGTCAGCCCTGCGGCTCCCGCTCCACTCGCCACAGCTACCAGGGGGAAATCCCCAGAGTCTGCCGACATATTCGGTCGCAACTCACACAGCCTGCAGCGAGTGAACCTGTCGTAGATATTCGTCTCGTTGGGGAGTTGGCAGAGCGTGGGAGGCTCCACAACACACTCTGACCAGAGGTCGTAACTTGTCACAAAATCTGTAATATCATTATTGTTGACAAAAAGAGAGCCTAGTGCTGTGGTGTTGATGTTGTTGAAACAGCATCCAAACGTGTCCCTCGCTTGAACGAGAGCATCGCGGCATTCAGGGGAGCACTTGCCGGTCAACATAATGCCGATACACTTGTCGTATAACTGACGAATGTAATCATCGCTTAGCTCGTTAGACGAACCCGCAATGGCCGAAATGATACTCACTCCACCTAATACTCCGCAGAATTCTTCCTTTTGGTTGAAGCCACACGCCTGCATCACCTGAAGCGCGGACTCCTCGTTGCCGCATTCCCGGTAATTGCGCACGACCTCACGTGCCTGATACTTGCAAAACAGCGCCTGCGACTGCTGGAGTGTGCACGTGTAACTGCAGGTTACGTCAGGACTCAGCGGCGCTAATTGGAGGGGTTCGTTCTCGCACGGCTCCGGGCGGGCTACCCCGCAATTTTCCCAGAGTTGCGGGGTTAGCGCGCGAATCAAATCGTCAGACTCCGTAACCGACAGTGAGTGAATGCAGCAGTCAAATCTACCGGAAAAGCCCTCCAGCGTTGTCCTACACCGATCGCTGCAGTTTCCAGGAGTGACCAGACATTCGCCAATTACTTCACTAGCAATCTCTCTCGGTGTAACATCTGCCGATTCGTGCTCTCCGCAGAGTACCCCGTTTACAGTGTCCGTAGCACACTCTGGATAGCCTCTCTCTAACGTAAAACGTAGACGGGCTAGGCGAAACGTGATAGGATACGAGCATTCAGCGTTCTCCACGTTCCGCAAGGCGTTCAGGTAGTCCGCATCGCACTGTACCCTCGCCAACCGCTGTAGCAGTTCTTCGCTGGAGCACACACTTGCCTGCCTCTCTCTCCGCAGGACCTGAGGCTGTAGTGACGTCGAGTGACGAGCACCGCGGACTGCCGAAAGAGGCGGCAAAAAATCTTTGTAACTTCCACTCACTGCAGTCAATTCATATCCGAAGAGAAACAGCACCATGTAAAAGCGACAGCCGTTCGCCATAGTCGCCATTTCAAAACTGCGCACTTAGCGACGGAACGTCTGGCTAAGACGTAGCTACAGTCGTATCCACGGAAACTCAATTGAATCGTCTACGCCCGCGGCTCAAAAAGGAAATCAGCGCGGCTTCACGGAGTTACCCATGTCCTTATCCGACGACCACGCAAGTAAACGGAAACCCCTTGGTAGGTGTGCGCGCCTGCTATTCAACTACGTAAGCGTGTGCTACGAGTGGTTAATTGGTGGGATATTCCAGTGATGCCATAACCGGTATGGAATTTTCCACAGTAGGTTTTGGAATCGATAGCTACCCGAACCTGGCTTCGTTTCGTCTTCACCCGAAACGCCCACAGTTGAGACTAAGAAAGAAGTAGACAGTTCTAGTAACCATGGGCTGGTGTGGTGGTGTCAAAATTCAGGCGATATTCATTGTGTGTGCTCTCTTCTGGCGAGCAGGAGCGGAATTGAACCACGGACTTACGTCTGCAGATTCTTCATCTTTCGAAATACTCGCCGAGATCAGCTCTCAACATCCTATCGTACAGCGGCAGTCGTGTGAACCAGATTCCGTTGAGCAGCGTCGTCGAGTCGCAGCCGCGCAGTGCGACACGAATTACGTAACCGCCGTCACGGCCTCGGAGTGTGATGTATCGTTTTTCTCGAACGCCGAAGATATCCGTAGGTGTGGTACAGACCGCGGAACACTGTGTGCATTGTACAGCCCCTCACTGACCACAACAGATACAGATATAGTAGACCGTGCTCAAGACGTCCAGCACTTTTGCTTCGAGGAAGCCTCTCTCTCAAAATCTCTTGCGAATTGCAGCGCCGAGTGCCGGAACGCGTTAGAGGCGTTTGGGAGCGACTTCGGTTGTTGCGTTCGGTCGGAGCCTCAATTTTCACAAGATGATTTAGCGAAAACTCTAACTCCTCTACTGTGGTCTCAATGCGGTGTCACGCTGCCCGAACCGTGCGAAGACACGCCGCTTGAGTCTCCTGCCGCCACCACTTCCTGCGGGTTTTTCTGCGGATTCTCCGTGTTCATCGGTTTGGAGTGCCGTCACGTCGGCAGCAAACTACTAGAAATCTACGAGGATTGCGGAGACACGGGATCGGCCAATGAACTAAGGCAGCAGTGCGGATTCAACCAAAAAGGCCAATCATGCGGCCTTTCCCTTGACTTTATCACCACACAGCGGGACACTGTGTTTTCCACCTACAACAAGTGCTACAGGTTTTTATCAGCTAGAGAGTGCGCACCCGAGTGCAGAGGGGCATTAGAAAGTCTAAAGAACAAGTTTGGTTGCTGTGTGAACAATTTGAACACGACATCTGCCATCAGCAGCCAGGAGGAAATAGGAGCGTTTGTGACCAGCTACGAGTTGTGGTCGGCCTGTGACGTTGAGAGCCCGGGATTCTGCAGTCTTGCTGATGATGTCTCCCTGTATGACGACCTAATTCAGTGTGAACTATGCCATGACTATTAACTACACGTGCATAACTAACAAGCAGTGTGACTCATCGCGCATGCGCAGCGTTGTTATTTCCGCGTGCGCATGCATAATAAAATAGTGGTGCCCCAGGCACTCGAAAAACCAGCAACTATTGTGCTGTGGAACGTCGATCGCACGTATAACACCGCGCGTATGTTGAAGTTGTCACCCCCAGCTAATACTGCTCGTGTGAGGTATGCTATAATTATAGTAATTAGGGGTGGGGTCAGACTCACGATCGATAATGGCAACTGCCATAGTTGACAGTCTGCTGGAGCTGCTGAGCACTGCAGGCCAGGCCGAATACCACGGGGAGAAGGTGTCTCAGTTAGAGCACGCGCTGCAGACAGCGGACCTGGCGCGCCGAGAGGGAGAGAGCGAGGAGGAGGTTCTGGCCGCTCTACTACACGACATTGGTCACGTGTGGCCCGAGGGAGACGGCGACGGGGAGAGGGAAGTCACGAGTGTTGGTGTCGTTCACCACGCGTCGGTAGGGGCCGCAGCTTTACGGAAAATGGGCTTCTCGGAGGCTGTCGCTAGTGTCGTCGCCGGTCACGTGAATGCGAAACGTTACCTCGTCGGTCAAGACACCGAATACGCCGGGACACTTTCCGAGTGTAGCGTCGAGTCTCTACGGCGGCAGGGTGGCCCCATGGGCGCTGAAGAAGCGGCAGAGTTCGCGCGCGGTCCGTGGTTCGAGGCGAAGATAAGATTGCGAAAGCGGGACGATCGCGCCAAGATTCCGGGGGCAATCGTCCCTGGACTGGACAGTTACCGGGACATAATGATCGCCCACTTGTCTAGCCAACAAAACTGCAAATAACGAAAATTACTGCAAATTGCAATGTTGTACATAAGCATTTCATTAATATATACATCAACATGATACATAACAAAATAGGTGAGTTTGTGTGCTAGAAATTTTGGCTGGGTTCATGTGCGTGTGGCTGCCAACTGCTTCTGAACTCCTGTAATAGTGATCAGGTGTATATATGTGTGTGCAGTAAGCAACTATTACTCAGACAAAAGAAGTATTACCATTTGCATTTTCATAATACAGGCTAGTGGAGGTATTTTACAAAAGGGGTGTGGAGTGAAAAAGAGAGGTATAATACATACATGTGTCTCGTCTCAAAATGCTATATAGCAAAAGACAAGGCCAAACGTGTCAGGAAAAGAAGCACAAAGTGTGTCTTAACACTTAGCCATCCACAGACACAAATGTGTCCATAAGAATCTATAATTATAATACTAGGCGCTAACACTTCAAACATAAAACTCTGCTTATTTGAAGATATATACCCATGGCATCCAAAGGGTTAATAATGTTAGCAAAGCCAAAACTGCTGAGAGGCAAAGACTCACAGAGCTATCGCTATCTCTGTGATGGCCACTCTCCATAGCCACAGCAGCTCCATTGGTGGAGCCCAGAGAGAGCTGCTCCACTACAGATGACAGCCTCGTCAGCAGAAACTTGTTCTCTTCCTCCAGTTTCTCGTTCTCGGGGACCGAAATGACTCGAGTGATCTTCTTGAGAGATTTCTCCAACTGTTCGTTGATGTCCGAATCACTCAGTTCTGCCGATCTACAGAATATGGTACAGAGATGCTTTCACTTATTGGCCTGCGTAGGGTGCATACACATTGGTAATTTGACGCATGAAATTGCAAACATTTTAGCAGTTTTCAGGCCTTCATTTAGAAATTGACCAAGGGGGTTATAGAGGAGAGGCAACCCCCCTGTTTATGTGCATTACAATGGTCATTAAATTCCAAGGGGGCGAGAGTTTAATCAAGGGGGCAAGCAAAACCCCCTGCCCCCCTAAATGAATTCCTGGTTTTAAGAGCTTCATATGTAAGTATGGTGATAGTTCTGTCAATTCAGATTTGTAGGCAGTCTTGCTTCACTAGCCAATAATTAGCTGGATCACGAACGCGGAAAAGGGTCACTAACAGTTGACTCCAGACGGAGGGTTGTCTATCAGGTGGTCCGTATTCACTGGCTGAGCTAGACCTCCGGCGAAACTGCTGAGCCATGTCTGGCGTCTGAGACAGAGAGACAGATCCAAGATAATACAGTGGAACCTCCGATAAGGGACCCTCTGAGATAGGGACGACCTCTCTACAAAGGACACTTGTTTCAACCCCATGCCAATACTTTAGTATTTGACCTCTGAGATAGAGACAACCTCTCTAAGATTGTTGGCCCCCATAGTGTCCCTTGTTCAGAGGTTCCACTGTAGCTCAGTGGGCAACCGTCTGATGTTAGACTACGGTAACACGCAATTGACCAATCAGATTGCGAGTTCAGGGCTCCTCGGCTCACTAAATCGCGTAGTTCCCGCGGCTCAGCGTCTAACCTATACATAGTCATATATTCAGGAAGCTTTCAGTTTCAGTGGAATTATAATTTAGCTTGAAAAAAGTTTACCAAAACTCCACTCAAACCTTGAACCTAACTCACTGGCTTCTTATGAATACTGACCATTGATTGAGTGACATCAACGTTCTCATACTGATGAGATCTGCTCCTCTGCTGCAGCTAAAGTGTACATTTGTTCATCCATAAAGGGAGAAAGAGATCATGATCAGCAGCAGTGGTGATACTCTAAGACTGTACCTGCTGTTCAAGTAGAACCCATATCCCAGATCTCTGAAGAGAACTCAACTGCGTGAAACAGAATTTGTGTCTGCATAATCACAATTCAAATTTTCGGGCGTGTTATTCGCACATATTTAGAATCACGTAAACATTATGGTATGTGCAGTGTGCCCTTCGTACATTATAATAAGTATTATATGGAAAAATCTTAACTAGGCATATTCGCTTCGCTGGCCAAATATACCTCAGTCACTTGTCCTTTGAGTGCCAGTAGCTCATCTCTCTTCCGGCCCAATCTCATTAGCAGGTCTCCCATAGCAACGTACTGCCTCGCAAAGTTGTATCCGTTTAGAGTCTCGAGGATTATCTTCTCTGCCTGCTGCTTGGCACCGACCAACACATCTGCCATTCTTCCCACTGTTGACATCCCTGCAGGCAGACAGACAAAGAGACAGACAGACAGACCAATAATAGTGTTTTACCACTAGACCTTTTAATAATAATATTGTATATGTCTGTATTACAGGTGTGCAAAAAGGACATTTTCAACTAGTGAGTATATATGCATCATACCGTTATTGCTTTTGGCATCAGAGTATATCTTTCTTGCACGAATAACACTGCACGAGGAGAGAAATATAAATAGAAACCATGGTGTGGTACATAACAAAAGTCCAATCTGTGCAGTGCAGTATCTTTACCCGCATAATAATAATAATACTCAGGTGGCTGCCATAGCACTAGGGCCATAGACCACGCACCCGCATAATATTAATTGAGTTGGCTTACGCTCTGCAAACAAAAATGCACATTGACTACACATTGTGTTCAGCAGCCTAGTTACATTGCACTACAAAACTATATACCACTGAATAAAGTGTGGTCGGTCGGTATTCACGGAGTGCCAAACCAAAGTATTAGCAAAAAGTGTTTGACGCGAAAGTTCTAAGGTATTCAGTGGTACATACTGGACTCACTACTGCTGGTAGAAGTCATAGAAGATGGTTTCGTTTCTCTCAGATGCAGTCTTTAGTTCGTCTGCCAGTCTGAGGTAAGTTTCAGTCTCCTGGCGAAGTCTCCCTATCTCAACTCCCAACTGGGAGAGATTCTTGGGGAAGGAGAGAGAGGGAGAGGATCATGTACAAGACAGAGGATAACTGAAGTTGCAGAAGCAGAAGAAGAGAAAGGGAGGGTAAAGAGACTCTTGGGGAAGGAGAGGGAGAGGATGAAAGAGGGGTAAAGCAAGAAATAGAACAGAAAGTCAGAGGGATGGTGATGAAGATTACTCACCCAGAGGAAGTTATTTTTCAGGAAGAGGAGAAAGATCAAAAAGACAAAGGGAACTACTCTACTCTCATAGTTTGTATAAAGACTGCCGATGCAGTAACTAGATACTATAGCTACCTGAAGGTGTTGGTTTAGTTGATGTGATAGCTGCTCCCACTGTGCCAGAGTACGGGCCAGAGAACTTTCTGCAGAATATATTGTGAGAATCACCTTCATGCACTATTACTAGCAATTGTATCATATTTATAGCTACCCCTAGTGAATTGACTTATAATTATGTTTGGTGCGTATATTATATACTGGTCACTAGGCCTGTGTTATACTGAAAACTGGTCTTCCCAAACCTCTTCTTTTATAGCTAGACCATAATACTGAACATTGTAGAATCAGAGGATTAACTACTAGTAGGCGAATGCATTGCATTTTTGGCGAGCGGAAGCGAGCTTACAAATGGGGTCTTCGTATGAGTCACTCTTAATCTTGTGTGTGCACAAAACACATTGCGTAGCAGCTGTAGGCGGGCCTCTCTCTCCTCACTGGACTCGGCAGCAATTTGGCGCTTTGAAGCTGTTGGAGCCTGGCCTGATGTGCCTCCTCGGATTCTGCACCGCGTATAGCTCCTGATCGTACACGACCGCTCGCTAGTCGCGCTTCCCTTTCCTCCGCTGTTTCTGTTGCCCGGCCTTGCCTTGCCCGTTCCCGATCACGCATTCGGCGTTGAGAAAGCCGAGATTCTCTCTGCTCAGGAGTCTCACTGGAACGACGTTCTCTTTCCCTCTCTCGTCGACGACGAAGAGCATCTTCTCTAGACCAATCCATAACTCTTTCCCTTTCCTCACACGCTAACAAATTATCAGGGGTGGAGCCCAAATTATCAGGGGGTGGAGCCTACTGAGGGATGGGCGGCGACGTACGGTGACATATATATATATATACACATATAGAAAAATCGCGCCGTTCGGACCACTAGGTTAGCTCGCTTCCGCTCGCCAATTATATCCATACAATATGTACCTTTCCCATTGGTCTCCACCATTTTTCTTAGTCTATCCATATCAGCCTGTTGCCTGAGAAAAAAACATAAAACTCAATTTCAATAGTATTAATATTAAACACAATAATTTCAAAGACCTTTTTGGCTAATAAAATGTACACATACGTATCACATGTGTATTTCATTGGGTGTAGTCTCAATATAATTAAAACTCCAAATTTACTGCAAGTTGTAAGTAGCCTAGGTTGGCTCGTGCGGATATAATCATTGTGTGCTCACTCCCGCTCGCCAAAAATGCCGTGCATTCGCCTACTAGTTATAAACTCCAAATTGACCCTCTTTGGCTAATAGATATCAGATGTGTGCTATCAGTGGGTGTGGTCTCACATGTGGTAGATGTGTTGAGTGAGAGATTCAGTTGATTGGTAGGCGGAGTTTAGAACTCCCTCCTGCTCCCTCACCTCCACACACTGTCTGTGGATTGTCGTTCTAGGTTTATTGGGAAATAGTCAAGGCTTTATCAGATAGGACATAATATGTAAATGGTATGTATATTATGGTGCAACAACATAAAAACCTGTGTGGAAATTGTACTGAAGTACTGATTTGAGGTTTATAGGAAATTCTCTAAAGTCAACAAAATAACTATGGCATTATGTATTCACAGATGTATTAGAGAAATTTCCAGATTCATATATTCATTGACTCACAGAATACATTTGTGTCCCTTGTGTAGTCGTTCAAAGAGGTGGTACTGTTGTCGTATGTGGAAGAATGTGTGAGAGTATACCTCTCTACGTTCCTGGAGAGACAGACAGACAGATATAGAGAGACAGACAGAGAGAGACAGATAGACAGACAGACAGAGATAGATGAGACATGTGTAATAGGAGTGGGTCTTACTTGTTTCGGTATTGACTCATCGCCATTGACAACTGCAGAAGAGACAACGATCACATAGTACAATCTTAGTCTCATGAGCCACCATACATGTTTATGTATCAGTGATTCCTTAATAGCAGGACATTCGTAAGGTGTACTTCCACATTTTACCCACACTTACAATATCGTGCACAGATGCATTTACTAGCACACAGAGGCAGAATAAACTGTAAGATGTGATTATTGATCTGAGGAGTGTGATGTGGTGAGATATGTCTCACTGAGAGTTCCAATGGCCGGACTAGTGTCTCTCATCATCTTGAACGACGGATCAAGAGCTGTTGAGAACAGGTAGACCATCCCCACGTTTCCTTCCTGACCAGCCAGAGAATGGGGAAATAGTATAGTTAATGATGCCAGCAAAGAAATGAGAGAAGTGGTGTGGACTATTAAGGGTTATATACCACTAGAAACATCTCTCCAGTGGATTTTTTACTACTCTTGGAAAAACCTTGTAAGTATTAAAGATTTCTTCAGCAAGAGCTGAAGTGCCTGCAGCTTTAAAGTCCGGATAATGATATTGGAGAATTATTTCATTCCCCATGGATGGCATATATTAATAATGAAAAATGAGGTTGGAAGAAAGACGAAAAGAAGAATCGAAATCAGACCTTTGATATAGTGCTACTGCTGCGCCACTGTCAACAGTACGTGTGCAGTGGGCCAAAGTGTACGCAAGTTCGCATTCTATAACATGTGCATTGAGTTAAGATTTCAACTGTACATCAAGGATATACAGACAGACCAGAGTATGTCATACCATGATACAAGAGGAGACTTGTTCTCTGTTCTCCATCATGTGGCCATTGGGCAGAGCCAGGTACAGCTCTGCAGTGGGGACTGTGGTCGAGTCATGGATATGAACCTTCAGGTCTTCCACTCTACAGCAAGATGAGACAATAATGATAGAGATGATCTTCCACTCTATAGCAAGATGAGTGACGATAATGATAGTAGAGGGAGAATAATGATAGAGAAGAAGGCAAAAGCATTGGTATATACACTATGCAGTTTATTCTCTGCTGAAACACTCATTGCCAGAATAGAATGTGGTTATCTTGACCAATTGCCAGAATAGAATGTGATATTCGTCGCTATAAGGTTGGATTGATTTGGTGTCTGACATGATTATGCACACCCTCAAGATTATTTTCCAGTGACTAGCAGCTATACTTCACCAACTACATTATACACTATTGCTGTTGGCATAAATGTCACAGAATTCATCAAACAACGTACGTGTCCTCAGCCTTGACAATGTATGAATATACGTCTCCAGTCTGCATGCAGAGAGCACTCACAATCTGAACATGTGATATGAGAGCAAATAAATGTGTGAAGCAACAATGTCAAAAGGGGGAGGAGTTTTTTTATAAACAAGAGTGGCACATTGAAATGGAGAAACACAGACAAAAAAGAAGGGTGTTAGAGATCAATTTTCAGAAAAAGTAAGAAACGGGAGGAGAAGGGAGTGGAGCATTGCACAACTAAAAGGAGAGATCAGTAACTACTCCTACGCTGCATAGGCATAAAAAGAATTATGGGGATCAGCTGTAACTACTCCACTATCACTAAGTACTATGACACAGATTGTCCTGCATTATGCCCATACATTTGAGAATGTATGTTTCACTTTCAGTTACCAGAGTGTTGAGGTTGTGTTCCATGACAGAGAGAAATGGTGCAGTCTCAAAGGAAGAGGTCTTCACTCCTCTCCTCAGGGGTTCCTTGTGGAGAGCTGACTGGAGCCACGTCGTCACCAACACCTCAAATGGTCTATAATAGTACAGGTTCATACATATACAGTCACAGTAGAGCTATGAATAGGTACACAGATATTGCGCTAGGTACAGCTTGCTCCAGAGATTTATTGCTGGGGGACAGATTTATTGCTGGCTCCAGAGATTTATTGCTGGGGGACAGATTTATTGCTGGCTCCAGAGATTTATTGCTGGGGGACAGATTTATTGCTGGCTCCAGAGATTTATTGCTGGGGGGAAATCAGCCCCCTAGCAAGGAATTTGGACAGTCCTAATGCCTACTATTTTGGGGGTTAGAGGAAGCATATTTGGGAGGACAAATGAATGATGCACCAGAGGGACTACGTGTCCCGCTGGTACACTATGGCGCCAGCCCTGTACAGTCTAGTTACAAACAAGGCTGACCTGCACAGCCTGTGAGGCTGGGGGAGGGAGGAGGAGTAGACCGGGTCTGTGGCTAGAGGGAAATAGGGTTAATTCAACTCCCAGTTTCAACAGTGTACTACAGTATTGGTGATCTTACGATGGTCTCCCCAGTAGATGTAGATGTCCTTGTCTCCTTTCTTTGCCACACAATCCACCCTAACACACACAGAGAGACATATATAACTTTAGGCTCTCTCTCTCAGATGACAAGTTAAGTACATACAAAATGGACACAACTTTTAAGATCCTCAATTCATGCTTTTTGTGTACCCCATGCAATCACAACATAAATTGAAGGGGTCAGAGTCAGAGTGAGCCAACCCTCAATATACAACTCTTGCTGGTTTTTCTTCAAATATGTTCTAAATGTCCTTATAGAACAAAAACCGGCAAAGAGCTGTAAATTGACTCACTCTGACTCTGACCCCCTCATTTATGATCTACAGAAATAATGCACCCTAAAATGTTTGACAAGCAAGCAGTGATAAACAAAGGTCATACTAACGTATTTTACCAGGCGAAGCCAGCAGAGGGATGTCCGTGGAGAAAAGGTCTCTTGCCAGATATACACTCAAATACTATTACTCCAAACCCCCAGAAATCAACCTAGTATAACATTGGGACATAAGAAGGAACAATTCAAAGTTCTCTCGGGTGATTTCGGGTCAACTTGTGCATCAATTTCTTTACAACCCCACATATCATCTTTGGCCCCTACCCCCTGAATTATAATGTTCAAAAGGAGAAAAATTGTTGGGTATAGCAAATACTATTCAGGAATACACGATTGTTTCCCTTTTCTTCTGATTCTCTTCCTGAACCACAGTGGACAGCCAGGGTATAGTATTTACATACACATAATATGTCAGTAATTTTGTAACAGAGTAGTACCTGTAATCACAGAGTGAGAAAAACCAACCATACACAAGTACACAGTATAATGCAGTATATAAAGAGTAGGTGGGGGAATTACATAGCTCACATTGCTATGGTACTGTTTGTCTTTCAGGACCTCAGGAGCCTGTGGAATGACAACATTCATATCCACTAGGGCTTACCTTCTTACATACATACATACATATCTGTCTGTATATAGTGCTTGTGTATCGTATTATATTTCATGTCCTTGGCTTGTGACACATAGGATACTTTAGTTCTAAACTCCTTTTTTAAAGATTTAAAGTTTATGACAATCACAAACATATTTGGTAGTTAACATAACTAACAAAAAACAAGATCTTCATCTGTTTTACTACTGTAGGCTGTGAGAAACACAGACACGTCATACTTTTTTCATGTTAACAAAGTCTTCATCTGCCGCTGGTTTTACTTGTATTGAATATCAACCAACTGTATACATATTAATACTCACTCACCACATATTGGACGGTGCCCACTAGAGATGTACAGACACTACTGTTGTCATACTGCTTGGCATAGCCAAAGTCTGTCAGCTTGTAGATCACCTGCAGCCAATGAAATCATTCCACCACATGCGTACATTAGTACTTAATGCTTGCCAATTATACCAAAAAAATTTCTATTATATCATTAGTACAAGGGCACAAAAAAGGATAGACACAGACTCAACAAGAACAGAGAAAGGTAAGAAACGGCAAACAATAGGAAAGGTAACCAACTTTTGGGTCACGCGATCGTGTATCTTGCCCTTAAAGTTGGTTTTACTGTGCGTGATTTTATGATTATTGATACACACAGGAGGCTATAGAAAGATGACCTGGGATTCTCCGACCCTCTTGAGCAGATGTTCTCTGGTTTGAGGTCTCTGTGGATGATCTTCTGACTGTGCAGGAACTTTATCCCCTGAGCTGCGGGGGGTGAGAGAAAGGAGAGGCAGCAACAGACAGTTGTGACTTCTATTTAGCACAGGCTTACCTCGACCGGGTCCGCTTGCTCTGTCTATCTTGAAGGCACAAGAAGTCACAACGAATGGTGTGTATCGACTCTCGCGTGCTATCTACTACTGTAGCTAGCCCGTGTCAGACTCTCTGCGAGCTTCTTCGCCGAGGGTTTGCACTTTAGTGCTTTTCATTATGAAGGTAAAGGTATCAGTTGCCAAGCCCCAAGTAGAATTACAATGAAGAAAGAGAGAGACTGGGAGAGATCGAGCAAGGAAGAAGATAGATAGATGAGGATCGAGCAAGGAAGAAGATAGATAGATGAGGATCGAGCCAAGGAAGAAGGTAGATAGATGAGGATCGAGCAAGGAAGATAGATAGATAGATGAGGATCGAGCAAGGAAGAAGATAGATAGATGAGGATCGAGCAAGGAAGAAGGTAGATAGATGAGGATCGAGCAAGGAAGAAGATAGATAGATAGATGAGGATTGAGCAAGGAAGAAGATAGATAGATGAGGATCGAGCAAGGAAGAAGGTAGATAGATGAGGATCGAGCAAGGAAGAAGGTATGTAGATAGATGAGGATCGAGCAAGGAAGAAGATAGATAGATAGATGAAGATCGAGCAAGGAAGAAGATAGATACAGATGGGGATCACTCACTGACGTCTCTACATATCTGTCTGATCTGAGTCTCCTCTAAACCACAGCAGTTCTCTGGGTCCCTCAGAACCTGTGCAAACATTCACTCATAGAATGATATTCCAGTGAAGAAATTTGTATAATTATACTTTCCCTGCAGGCTTATGTATGTGGAATCCATGAACATGTGCTAGCATAGCAATGAAAATGCAGCTGGTAGTCAGTTATGGAGTAAGTGGTTGATGCACAGAGTAGCTTCATTAACTAAACACTCAACTCAATACTATTCACCAGTTTGGGTCTTTATAATATGCTTTTAAAAACTATAGTAGTGGCATACCCACCTGTCTAAGATCTCCACCATCACAGTACTCCATACATATGCAGGGAGTGTCCCCAACTGCCATAGGGTCCAGACCAGCTGGCATATTGAGAGCCCTCACGATGTTCATGTGGTCGAGTTTCTTTATGATCTCCATCTCTCCTCGCCAGCGATCTATGTCGTCTTGACTGAGGCTGATGAGACGGCACTCCTTTAGCACTATCTTGGCCCCCGTTTCCTGGGCAGGGAGGGAGGGAGGGAGGGAGGGAGGGAAAGAAGATGGAGGGAAAGAGAGAGAAAAGTAAGTAACCTGGAGTCCAGTGCTGCTTACTCCCTTAAGGCAAGGGCCGCTGCAAGCCATTTTTAACTTGAGGAAAAAACAGCTGCTCTGCTTCAACTTTTAATAGCATGTAATCATTTTTTACATTAGCATAAGCCAATACCACACCATAATATTATACCCACATAACCCTAATGGCTTTAGACAAATAACTTCTCCATAGATAGAGTGTATGGAATACTAAGAATGATAAGCGCACCAGGTTAGTGAAGAGCTTCACAAGTCCAAAGCCTCCTGTTCCAATGTTCTTCTCAAACTCCCACCTCCCGTCCACCCCCTTTTGCGACATTCCCTTTCTCTTACAGTCACAACAACACTGGTGTAGTCGTCAGCCTTTTATAATAAGCAGCAGAAGTACTTTGCTTGAGAAATACGCACGCAGGTCTCGAACTCTGTCGCCACACACTCTCCGGACCAAACAGATGTAGGAAAGTACATATGACGAGCAAAGAATGCAGCTGGTTCTTCAGCTCTGGGGGCTTAAAGTTTGGCCAGGGGCCTTTCCAGGAAGGAAAAGTGCAGGTCTACTAGGCGACTACTACTGATGGTAGCCCTGTCGACAGGTGTCAGGCTTTCAGTTTCCAACAGAGCAGAGCACAGAACGGCCTCTTCTCCAATTAGTGCGCACCAATAACATTACGTAATGATGATAGCGGCTTAGGTTTGCGCATGCGTGTATATCATATTCTAGAAGATCACGACCAATATAAAATAGGGGGGGGAACATTGAGTACTGCAGGTATATAAAAACCTTAACTAACTATACGTATAACTATTCCTAACTACTTTCAGTTTTTTAAGTATGTTGATCGCAGCTCCCTTACAAATATACATTCTTCTCTCTCTCTGTATTCTCCTTTTTGTAGAACACTTCTCCCGTCGCTGTTGGGAAAACCATAGCTCACAGGTAACTGAGAATCAGAGCAGATGTTTTTTACTCACGCCTTATCCTCTTCTGTCTTTTGTAGTAGGCAATTGCAAGAATGAAGCTCGTGATAAGAAAAATTAATATCACCACTGCTGTTGCGCTAACGGCTGCAATGATAACTGTGTTGTCTGTTTCACCATCAGACTCACCAACTTTTTTTGGAAGAATGAATGTTCACAATTGTGCAGCAGGATCATACTTAATTCAATTACCTTCACACAAGTATCCCGAGTATTTGGGTGGACATGTACAGGTATAGTCATTCACATGCCTTGTGCAGGTCCCTCCATTTTCACAAGGGTTCTCTCCACACTCCATTAGAACTGCATATTGAAATGCAACACACCATTACACATCAGGTATGTCATGTTAGTATATTATTACAAGTGGAAAAATCATTTCTTCAAAATCAAAGGGGGATATAGGATGGGTTGAAGGCTAAAAAGTAGAAACACGAAAGTTGCAAAAGCTACATGACACCATCCATATCTTTGTCTCATATTAACTTTCCTGCAGGTAAGCTGTTTGCAGAGTGGAAATGACGGAGACGGCAAGCGCGCTGGAGACCTCTTTCCCAATTAGGAGGAAAATGTCAGCCGGGCGAGATTGGTGTGTGAACAATAACACAAATACAAGATATAGGATGGTGTCATGTAGTCTTTGTGCAAATCTTTGCTGTGTATGAACCCCTTGTTTCTTCCTTTTGGTGCTTCAAGCCATCCCTATAGCGTTTCATTTGGAGAACTGATTTTTCCACTTGTTTCCACTATTTTTCACGCCTTATGACAACACTGCATTTTCAGTCACTCTATGTTCATGGGTGTTGTAGAGATAACTGTTGAAAGCAGAAGCTAATGGGCGTCGCGCTACCTGAGGCAGGGTGTGTGCGTATTGTCTCCAACAGATCACTGAGATCTTGCACAGTCTTGTGGGTGTTTCATAGCCGGCTTCAGTTAATCCATAGTACATGAAGATAGAAACGGGCTATCTAGAAAGATAAGGGGCCTTACACGTGTGGTAAGGAAAAGACCAAACCTGGACACACAGGTTATAGAGCTGTGTCTAAAAAAAAGAAAAAGAAAAAAAAGACAAATAGAAAACGAAAAAAAATGGGAAAAGGAATTACAGAGCACCGAAGGATGAGAGTAGTTTTCTCGGAGGCCATTTCCAGTCCTGGCTTAGTCTCGTTCGTGGACCAGGTTTACGAGACAAAATGCGCGCGCGCCGCTTGGAAAGCCCTCCTCGGCGCTGCGCTCACTGATGCTGATGTTAGCAACAAATGTCGTTGTTCAGTGACTACCGAGGAAGAGCTCAACGATCTACCGTAGTGACTTGCGGCAAGAAAGAAACGATCGCTTGATATGCATGCACACCTCCGGAAAATTCGGAGACGTTCTGTGAAAAAATCTACGCTTCAAGTGCTTCCGGTAAGGAGCTAGCGGGTCTGAAGAAGAAGAAGAGAAGAAGATGAAGAATATGATGATGACACGAAAATCGTGAAATCGCGTATGAGCGATTCTCCGCGTGGACGACTGAAGGTGCGTATGAGGTCTTGGGGACATAGTATAGGTAGATATGGGCCCGTAGACTATTGCTAGTAGTGTTTTGAAGGCCTCAGGGAGTGATTCTCACCGAAATTTTAGTCGTTTTGTACGCGGATCACGTGAGATTTCACCCGTGTCGTCCCTATATATATAGAGAGTCTACCGACTCTCTGATAATAATTGTATTAAGTGAGCAACTCACTCTTTTTAGTGCATTGGTCTCCAGTGAATCCTTGAGAGCAAGCACATGTGCCATTGGCTACACAAGCACCGTTCTCACATGGAGGGTCACATGTAACTACATGTATACAAGGACAAGAAATGGTTTACACATGATGTAACGATGAGCCTAGCAATAACGTTTTTAAGCCTAGCAATCAAAGCACAGACAAAATTAATGTAGACTTTATTCTAATGAAAGAGGCAACCTCTTGTTTCCAACATATTGTTAATATACTACAAACAAGAGATATAATAGTTATGATAAGAAAAATTAATATCACCACAGCTGCTGCGCTACCGGCTGCAATGAAAACTGTGTTGTCAGTTTCGCCATCAGACTCACCAACTTGAAGAATGAATGTTCACAATTGTGCAGCAGGATCATACTTAATTCAATTACCTTCACACAAGTATCCAGAGTACTCAGGTGGACATGTACAGGTATAGTCATTCACATGCCTTGTGCAGGTCCCTCCATTTTCACAAGGGTTCTCTCCACACTCCATTAGAACTGCATATTGAAATGCAACACACCATTACATCAGGTATATCATGTTGTCATGTTAGTATATAATTGTATTAAGCGAGCAACTCACTCTTTCTAGTGCATTGGTCTCCAGTGAATCCTTGAGAGCAAGCACATGTGTCATTGGCTACACAAGCACCGTTCTCACATGGAGGGTCACATGTAACTACATGTATACAAGGACAAGAAATGGTTTACACATGATGTAATGATGAGCCTAGCAATAACGTTTTTAAGCCTAGCAATCAAAGCACAGACAAATGTAGACTTTACTCTAATGAAAGAGGCAACCTCTTGTTTCCAACATATTGTTAAATATACTACAAACAAGAGATATATAGTTCTGGGAGTGTTATTCAGGAGCAATTAACTAAAGCTGGTTAATATTGTCAGTGTGCTATGGCTCACTGCCTGCATGTTGGCAAAAAAACAGATTATGTCAGCTTAAAAGGTGGGTTTAGCGAAGAAGCATCATCAAAAGCAAAAAGAATTACTTGGCAGAGATAGTTCTTCCAGTTTCTCTATCTCTTGGCTGGTACGTAGTGTGCTGAGTCCCAGATCAGTGTTCCCAGTGGCCGCGATGTCAAACAGACAAAACACATCGTCTCCGCACAACCTATTGGCCTCCGTTTCGAGATCCACATCTTGAAACACTGGTTGAAACACTGGCTCGAAGGTGGGCAAGTAGTACGTCGCCCATGATTCCCCGGGCGGGTACGAAAACAAACTCTCTGAGAATGTGTCAATGATCCCTGGAAACAATATGTAGCAGAGTATACAGTGGAACCTCTGAATAATGGACACATTGGGACCAGAGATTTTGTTTTATATAGAGGTTGTCCTCTTTTTCAGAGGGTAAAAAATATTTACATATAGGATGATAGGAAAGTAACTTTAAGGGCCTCCCAATTCTATTTAGAGGTTTTTTCTATATTTGGAGTGTCCTTTTTGGAGGTTCTTCTGTAGTTGTTGTTTACTCACAAGTTAATCCAAAATCATAATGGATATCTCGAAGGGTGGAGTCTAAAGGAAGAGGTACAGTTCCATTGTTTGGTTTAAGGTCATCAGAAGTATCTCCGTTAAATGTTCCCAGTAGTCCCTGTGTTGCCACTGTCTTGTAGCTCTCTGGAAGACTGATCACTAGCGAGGACAAAATACTGTTCTCTTGCTGCACCTCGAGATATGCACCACTGGAGAATGTCGCCGACAGTGTATTATTTCCAAGATCAGCCACCGTAACGTTCTTAAACTGCTGTTCGATAACGTTAAAGTCAACTTGCTCGCCGTTGACAAGGGCTACAATAGTACCATTATCTGATGCCTGAAATTGTACGACATCCGAGTCTCTCTCCCTTGCAGCGATGGCAGAGAACACAGTAGCCATTGGATTACCCCCGTTTCTGACTTGTTATGTCGACCATTCTCCCCTGTAGAGTGATGCTGCTGTCAGACGTCTCAATCAGAGTAAACTCTCCTCTGCCGTTGAACGTATACTTACGTCCGTCAAGAGTCACCAGATGAGGGTCTCCCCTGGCCCTAGCTGAATAATTAGATACATGAAAGGTTTTGATGAGTAAGAGGACCACAGAAACAGGGTATTTTACTTTAATTAATTTGCTAGGCTGCATTCAAGGTGAAAAGTTGTTCAAAAGCTGAAAACAGTTTTAAAAGCTTCAAAAGGGATAATCATTTCAAGAGTTGAAAATGGCTTCAAAAGTTGAAAACGGTTTTGAGCACTCTTTACCAGGAGGTGGTGGGGGAACAGATCGGGAACAGTCATCCGATGGGCGATACTGGTAGTATCTCCCACAGTTTGAAAAGAAACCAGCCTTGCAGCAGAGCCAGAAAGGGAGCACGTCTTGAAAAAAGTGCTCCGTAGTGCTAACATCAGGAGAGACTAGGTCGACTGTTCCTCCTCCAGGCTGCCCAACAATGATGTCACCAATTGTATTATAACAACATTGTTGACCTGAGCCCCCAGTCAACGACCTATGAATGCATCAGACGTTACGATTTAAAGGGAATGTGGCAGTATAATAATAATATAAAAGCCAATTTTGAAATGAGAAATACGGAATTTTGCAGTATAAAGGGCCAAAACACTGCTTCCACTGAGCCTTTTTGTTTAGCCTTGCCACATTCTCGAATACACTATCAAACCAGGCATGGAATACCTATCTCATAAGTGTCACCACTCACGGAATATCAACTTTCTGGCGGTAGCAGCTGGCAGCACCGGGATGGAAATAGTTACGGAATGCATCGTCGGCTATTGTCGTGCCAAAGAAATCCTGGACTTGTCCGACGACTTTTACAACGGACGACAGTTTCTCTTCCCTGAAACCGCTGTTGGGTAGTGCAGCACGTTCTGCTGTACACGGGCATGGTGGTAAGCGGTTGTTGATTTGTTGTCCAATGTTCTCATCTTCAATAAACTCTGCCCATGCTTCACAAGCTACACGCTGTGCAGCTTGCGTGATAATCTTCTTTATGATCCTCATAGGCATTTGCTTAATGATACGCAGACCGAGGCGACCGATTTTTTGGAGAACGTCTGAGAGAATGCCACGTTTTCTTGTACCTGCCACCATAGAGGTAGCGCTGACACCCACTTCAATGACAACCGGGTTAAGAGTGTTCTCAAAAGCTTCGAGTTCTGGAATATCGGGAATGGTGACTCCTGCCTCCCCACTGTTAGGAAGATCTGAAGCCAGTGTTGCCAGTGTCTTCCATTCACCGGTGCCTATGTCTTGTACTCGTACGGTAATGTCTACCATGTAGCTATCTTCGTCTACAAGAGGGAAAATACTCAGTGGAGACCAGAATACAGTGACTCTAGCTCCCCTCTCAAAGACAGGTTCCTCACTTTCAACAACACCTTCAAAAGCTCTCTGAAAAGGCACTGTGGGTGGGGGAAACACATGATAAATGAAACATTTAGCTATTCCTAGTTTTTAGGAACGTACGGGAATTGTAATTTGCCTCTCCGCGGAAGGTAATTCTTCCATCACGTACAACCATCAACTGAAAGAAGATTATTCCTGTTTCAGAGAGTTCAGGAGACACGCAGATTGCCTGCTGCTCATTAACATAGACTCCGTCTACTTTCTCGTCGCCAAAGTTGCAAGTGATCTCATCATCTTCCATAAATGTGATGTCGTCCCCAGACACAATGATGGGAGCTCCACCCAATTGGTTGCCATAGTGAGGAGTTAGTTTGAGATTGCCTGTGATGAAAAAGTGAGCGATGACATCATCAGTAATTTATGTTGAGACCCGTGGGCCATTTAAACGTATACATGAAAAGTATATTTATAGGATACTAGCCACAGAGAATAGAAAAGAAAGAAAGAAAACCAGAAGTCACCCTCCAACCTCCATCCTCCACCCACACACAGACACAAACCACACAGTTGCACACAACCGGCAGGACACCAGGTGCCCAGCCTTGAGAACTGGGGCGGTGGGTTAAAGAGCCTTTTATGGCTAGCCAACTCTCCCCACACACCTAGTGTCCAAACCAAATGACAAACAATCACAATGACAGCCACTATACATAGGCAGTAGGAAAAAATATATAAATATAACTGTGTATAAAAAATATATATATAAAGATAAAAAGAAAGAGGCAGTAAAAAACTCTGTATAATAAGTCCGTAGAAAAATAGAAATATATATAAAATCTGGAAAGAGAGAATAAAAACTTACGTGCAGACCAGGCTCATGAGTATATACCAGAGCGGCTCTGCAATGATTCTATTTAGTGCACAGTTGCATGCACGCGTTGTAAAATAAAAAATGTATCGTTTAAATAGATCTGCGTGAGTAAAATTAAAAAACATCGTTCAAATAGATCTGCGTGAGACATGGCGACTCTGGAACGGATCCATTGCTGGTAAACATACGCCATCTTCAATATGTCTGCTTACGCTACAACCATATTTGTCTACAAACCACACATGTTTCTTCGCAAACCGTCGAAAAACTACACACAATGTTGAGTATCTGAATCCTTGGCGAACAAGTCTTTGAGTAAGTTTGTAGTGCCTCACCGCAAAATCAATATAGTTACTGCATATTCTACCTATACGTACAAGCTGGGAAACATAAACTCCATATGCAGGTCCAGATGGAATGTTAGAAGAAAGATATGGAAAATTGACGATGTTAAAATTGAAATTGTCTCGCTTGTCATATAATGCTGTTAAATATTTCCCATCTTCTATAGTTACCAGTATATCTAAGTATGACAGTTTTGTTTCACACTCCGTAGTTTTCTTCAGTTGTAGCTCGCAGGGGTATATGTCACTTATCGCTGAATCAAACGCAGTATTATTTAGTGTTAAAAGATCATCAATGTATCTCATTGTATTATTGCATTTTTTAGCCAACACCAAATTTGTTTTAATTAGGCCCCTTACATACTGATATTCATAAAAGAAGAGAAACAAATTTGCTACTAATGGCGCACAATCCGTGCCCATCAGAATCCCCACAAATTGTCTGTACACTCTATCGCCTATACTAACATAAATATTATCAATCAGGTATTCCACATATGCAATAAGCTGTTCTTCAGTTATGTTATGTTTAGATGACGATGATGATGGTGTGTTTGACCAATATGCTCTTCCAGTATGGTCGGCTATACATGTACGGCCAAGAACGGTGTATTATTCTAGTATGTGTTATGCTATGGAGGCTTATATTAGTGGATATTTGACGTGGACATTGCAACACATTATGGGCACACTTTTAAGCACGTGGAGGCATGCCCTTTAGTTGAGGTGGTGCCATGAATAGCTCAGCTATGCTAGAAGTTGTGTTTGGAAGCTTTCTGCCGTGTGTGGTATTATGTGATATTTGACCATGGCACCCTATTAACATAGAGTGTCCACTGAGAAGCATGAGGCACAGCAAATAAATCAACTACACGCAGCACCCATATTAAATTACATAGAGTGTCCACTGAGAAGCAAGCATTTCCTTGTACTGAATCACACAGATTAGCAACCACACAATTAAAATTGCATAACACTTACATATAATACATTTCCCACCGCCCCAGCTCGTTGTCGTCAACCTGCAAACCCACATCCAGGCACTCAACGTTTGACGCTAAACTCAATGTCCACAATGGCAGCCGTCTGGACGCAGTAGTGTTGCACTGCGATGCGTCTCCCGCGGTTGTGGAACCCCACTTGTGCGGGAGTTCCACCAAACCCATCCACACCGTCAGAAGCGTCCCCAGTTGTCCACTGAATTCCACCATCCGCATAGAGGAATATGACAAACGAATTGGCTCCGTTTGTCACCATCACACACTGGAAAGTGTTAGTCTGTGAAAAACAATTGTGAATAACATGCAGGTATAAATGTATGTTCACAGGTAAACAATACCTTGTCTGTATGTGATGAGAAGTAGCCAACACGATCCCAAGTAGCAACAAAGATGCTATTGGCCTCAAATTCTTGTTGGTCGGGAAAAAATCTTCTTATGAGTTGCTGGGCTCTGTCGAGAAGGTCAGGTCTAGTTGTCTCTCTGTACCAGACTTGACCAGTTCCTGTCGTATCCACATCTCCCCAGTACGGGGCAATCAGCTGTAGTCCATTCCCAAGAGGGAATGGCGCTGGAGTGAACGCACTCACTGGTATCGTGAATGATATAACTCCATTGTTGTTGACCTACAGCAAATAACACTATAGCGTAATGCACTGAATTCTAGTTAAAAAGAATATCAGCTACCACATTAGAGCACAGTCAGATCACAGTAGCAAGTGTCTCACTGCGTGAAAGATTTTCCAGTTATATAATGCACTAGGCATCTTGGCCTTTCAACCTACAGTGGAACCTCATTAAGTGAACTCAAAGCTGCAGGCCACCAGCCTGCCATAACCCCGGCCAAGAAGTAAGGAGTTCGTAAGGGCTGTTGAAAGTGGCAGAAATCTAAGCAGCAATAAGGTGTGTAGTGTTCAGTGTGTGTTTCATAAGGTTCTAAAGATAATATACTTGGGTCCCTCTTTTGGGAAGGAAGCAAATGCTCTCATTACTAGGCTTGAAAATACCCGTCCCAATGATGTTGTCTATCATGCACATGTACAAACACATTACGGATTATTTCTCTGCTGTACTCCTGTATGAAACTCCGTTAGTACTACATTTTGAGGGGTTCCCCTTAGCTTTAGGCCTAATTTGCACTATAACCAGCTTGTAGACCCACTTGTGCACTCTAGGGACTGCAAAAGTGGTTCACATTTTCACAACTGTATACATACTAAACGGAGCACGCAACAATAGCTTACTATGGAGGCTTGGGAGGGGATTTTGCAACCGTTCATAGTAACGGGAATTTCATTCTAAGCGTGTTTACTCTAACGTGGTTCCACTGTATTCCTATGTATGTAGCCATGGACCTATTGACGAATATATAGCGCATTGTAGTAGTTACCTAGCAACTAGTCTTAGCGACCATCTCGCTCAAGCAACTATTATTAGACGGGGATGCCCCGAAAAGCATCCGGCATGAGACATTATTTGCAAGTGCGCATGAGCAAATTACGCGCTACTATACGTCCTCCGCGGAATGTCTATTCATAACAACCAGAACCCCCTCACGGAACGTTTCATAATTTATTTGCTGACGACAGTGAGAGAACACACGCACAGAGGTGAAAGCGAAATCATAGACATAATGGAGCTCACTTTACCTTTACGCATACAAGGCCTCACGCGTCCTCTCTCGCGGTTTGCGGCGCAGAAACACGCGCCAGCAGTTCGTTTGTGGCGCTGAACTCAGGATGCAGTCATCTGTTATATATGTATTCGCGTCTGTTCTCGAACCCAATACATAAAAAGGCTAGCTATCTACTCACAAATATGGTGCCATGATCTGTACCAAAGAACGGAAAGGACACGGTGAGGTTGAGAGGGGGCGTCGATTCGTCATCGTTCGGAGGAAGTAATTGGCCGCCTTCGTCGCTTCCAAACGGGTAGAAGGCAGATAGCTCAACAGCAGCTACTGACAACAAAATGCTGACTGCAACAACCGACCGTAACCAAAACATTGCTGCGCTAACTCCTCTTCAATCTTTTGCCGACCGCTATAACAGCTAGGCGTGCTACCAAAGTGCTGGACTGTTGTTACGAACGCGCATTGCGTGCCGTAAACCATAGCCGTTTTGCAGTAATTGTCTCGCAAAAACCACCCACGCATCCTCAGAAGTCGGGCACTTGTATATACGAGGCCAGAAAGTGTCGTAGTCTCCATGTCTCGCTATAGCTACTCAGCGGCTCTCCTCTCTCTCGCGCGCGCACCGGCGAGCGCATGTAATCCTGCGTAGGGCGCGTGTGCGCAGCACGAAAGTGATTTGGGCAAAATTACGCATGCGCCCAGGAGAGCCGGCCCGGTACGTATAATAGGGCGAACAGAATCCGAATTTGTGACTGAAGAAGAGAAGAGGAGTATATACTCATGTCGCGCCGTTTGCCCCGCGCGCCGCCGACGCTGAGCAATTGAGGGGCGTCGTCCTCTCTCCGCAGCTTTTCGCCCTGGTTAATAACGCACGCACACGAGAAAATTATAGTATCGCATGAGAATAGAGTCTGGTCACAAGATTACAAATGCAGCTGCTATGTAGCCGTTGTTTAACAACAAAAAAACATAATGGCACACACACATTTCCCTAGTATAAAGCAATAGACATCATTTATACAGTGTACAGGGGTAATTACATAAATACACAAACACAGCAAAATCATGTCATAAAATCTCTAATTATACACACCGCCACAGAAACAGTCATTTTACACATTAGGCGATTAATACTTATAATATAGCAGCACACCAATCAACGTGAAAAACGGTAGGGGCACATCAACTGAAAGGGTTAAAAGTCTGATTTGCAGCAGTAGACTGTGCCGTCAGAGGTGGGTATAGGGGGTTGCCCGTGGCAACCAAGGGTGTGGTTCCCACGGGAACCAGAGGTGCCTGTAGAGGGTCCAGAGCTGAGGAGAGAGAGAGAGGGAGGGGGGAGGACTGATGCAGTTGACATGCAAATATACACATACGTAGCTATTATACTTGCAAAATCCAGGTCAACGTAGTACAGGTACATATATATTGTATTCAAGTTGCATCCAACTTTGTCTTGTGCAACAAAGTTGCATGTGTATACCATGGTCCTTTATGTGTCTGAATGTACTACGTTGATCTGTATACATAATAATGTACTACGTTGATCTGTACTACATGTGTCTGTGTCTGTATACATAATAATGTACTGTATGTGTCTGTATACATAATAATGTACTACGTTGATCTGTACTATATATAGGTTAGACGCGGAAGCGAGGTGTCTACGCTACAATGCAACCCGAGGGGCTGTGGAATGTTGGCGTCCCGAGCGCAGCGAGGGCGCTACCCACATGCCCCGAGGGTTGCAATGTTGCGTAGACAACCGAGCTTCCGCGTCTAACCGGTTTAGACCGGAGTATCTGATTGGTGTTTGCGCGTTCAAATGGGTAGCAACAAGCTAGCAACGCTGCGCTCATTCCTCATTCCTTACCTTCGGATGGAACAAGACGGTTTTTTTACGTGTGAGACTCTCCGAGGAGACAGCCCCCGCCCCCCGTAAAAATTCGTTTACGTCATCATAAAACGCCCTCATTGGTGGTGCGCGTTTGAAAGGGTTAGCAACGCACGGCAACGGCCCAATGTGTTTGTGTATCGCCAGAGCTGAAGAAGCCGACGCTTTTTCGTGGAATATTGACGTGATTTATGACTTTCGCGAGCTCCGGAGACTGTCCACAGACTTCTTGCAGGTGCACTACGCATTTTAAAAGAGCTACTTTGCCAGTCGCGCCTTCTACGCTTACATATACCGAACGCGGAATCGGCCGGTTTGCGCAGATAACGACTTTTGAGAATAGCCATTTTGTACGGGGAGTTTGCTGTAGACCACCTGCAAACGCCATTAGACACCTGAAACGAGGTGTCTATGAAAAATAAACCCCCCGCAATTCTGTAATCTGATTGGTCAATTGCGCGTGACTGCGGTCTAAGTGTCTGTATACATAATAATGTATGTATATATGTATGTACCTTCGAAACCGATGGAGTTGGTATTGGTGCTGGCCAGTTGGTTCAGAGAGGGTGTGGTTGCCTTGGCTTCAAACGGGTTTCCAACAGGCTTGAGACCAGTCAGACTGGAACTGGGGCCAGACGGAGAGGACGACAGGCCAAACGGGTTTGACGGGGAAGGTCCCGAGGGCACTGGCTGCGGTTTGGGCGGAGCCACGGTCAAAAGGTCAAGGTCCACGAGGTTAGCGTTGGTTCCGAGGAACTGTGCCTCGATCTTAGGCAGCAGCTGTGGGGAGAGGAGAGGATTTGCTATAGGGACTCGGGATTTTATCATGATTGTATTGTGTACATAATCATACAGGCTACAACAAGTGGGCGTTAATTGGAATACATACTAAATGAGTTAGGCATCGAAATCTATGCGCATTAGAAGCCCTCGGGCCATTTACTTAGTGTCCTCTCGCTGTGCTTGGAACGCCACAACACAAGTCACAAGGGTGCTTGGGCTTGTAGATTTTAACTACTATTCAGCAAACCTGATGAGCTCCGGAGGAGGTAGTTGGTAGAGGGAGACCGAGGTCAGAGAGGTCAAAAGGATTATGTTGAGGAGGAGGTGGGTTGAAGGAGATGGAAGAAGGAGAAGTCACTGACCAGGGACTACGGGTGTGGGGAAGAGGAGGAACAAAGCTTTAGGTAAAGCAGGGGCTTTCCCCTTACTTCTACTCAGCTATATAGCCAATATAATGTAACTGCATGGCATAGGGTTTAACTGTTACATAAATGCATAACAGAACAACAAAGTTTCGCATCGCATGTGTGGGATGCTAAAACCGAAAGGTTCAAGAAAAACAAGTATATACTTCCACTACGTCGAATATTTCAAGGCAGCAAGTTCAAGATTTGTATACAGTGGACTCACTCCACGATAGGCACAGGTGGAGGAAGACTGGTGGTAGCAGCAGACGATGATGTTGTGCTCCCCCCACCACCCCAGGGGTCAAGGTCCGTTCCCATGGCGACCATTGGGGCCCCGCCCAACAACCAGGGGTCGGCAGTGGTGGCTGGCATCACGACACTGTCGTAGGAAGGGAGGGGCTCAGATGATGGAGAGGCTCCCCATGGATCCTTGACACCTGACAGAGAGAGAGAGAGAGAGAGAGAGAGATGATCTGTATTCCTCTGAAAAAAGACTTCTCAGTATTATAATTTCGTGTTACATCCCTTTTCCTATTTCGGTTATCTGGCTGCCTCTATTTTTATCTCGCCAGGTCCCAGCCAGGTTCAACTGCTATATATATATAATACTGAAAAAAGATACTTGTATATTGCATTCTTGCACTGGGCCGTATTGTTTAGTACAAGTCCATTTGTAGTAACAGTTTCTAAACCTGTACTATATATACTGCCACAATAATAAGGTGTAGTTAGGTACTTGTGTCGAGGTCGAGGAGCAGGTCAGTGGAAGATGGAGGAGAGTCCTCTTTCTCCTCTCCCTCCTCCCCAGTCCCTGCCACGGAGAGAGCCAATGCAGCTGTCAGACTCTCCTCCTCCTGTCTCCTGGAGAGGTGGGGGACACATTCCACAACATTTCAAGGTTCAAGGGAGGGGGAACGAAAGGAAAGAAAGGACATTCTACACTAACAAGACATTACAGTGTGTCACAGCAGTGAGGGTCACAACATAATGCCATGTCTCCTGGAGAGGTGGGGGACACATTCCACAACATTTCAAGGTTCAAGTGAGGGGGAAAGAAAGGAGATTCTATATGCACATTGAGGGGAAAACATCACTATTAATTTTGATGCTACAGAGCTGTCCCACAGATCCATTACTAGAATGAATGCAACACATTTTTGGCGCGTTCAATTTTTCGCACGTATTTACATTACAGTGTGCCACAGCAATGAGGGTCACAACATATAAACAGGCAACACATGTGTATTATTTACAAGTATTTTACAACCCATGTTTATAAATAAATACTTGTAAATAATGTTTAATGTAGAGAGGAAAAAAACCATTTTCACGACTAAAACTGCATGCAGGAGAGAAGTGTACCTGAGCGTGGCTTCTTCGTCAGCCTGTTGCTTGGAGAGCTGTAGAGCCAGTGTCAGTTGCATCTCTTCCTCACTCAGGTTGCTAGGTCGAGCCTGTTCAACCGGCTGAACCCGCTTCCCATTCCTGTTTCCCCCGACAACCACAGCCAGTCAATACAAACAATTACATCATACAGACAACATTGCATACACCAACGCATGCACAATTGGCCAAATTGTATATACATATGCACTTGTATATATATACATGCAGCACCCAGCAGTAGCCCTTCTCACACTTCCTTCTTTCTATATGTAGTATGTGTAAGTGAAACGTGAGCTATAATTATTATTTCACATGCAGCGAGATATTGACTTACTGAACAGGAGGAGGACTACTAGCTGCATCTGGAGATCCAAATGTAACCCTGTTGTGTAAGAAAAAAACGTTGATCATTAGTTGGAGAATGGATGTACAGAAGAAGTCTGTTTTCAAAGTGTGTGTGTGTGTATAATAATGTATGTACATGTATGTAGTAATGCAATGAAAGATGGTAGAGAGAGAGAGAGAGAGGGGTGGGATGGAGGTGAGGAAGGAAAGAGGGAAAGAGGGAGAGAAGAAGTAATGTAATGAAAGATGGTAGAAGGGAGAGAGGGTGGGAGAGAGGGAGGTGAGGAAGGAGAGAGAAGAAGCAGACAAGGTGTCCTCACCTCTTCCTGCCAGGACTGGGAGAGGTCCTCAGAACTGGACTGTCACTGCCAAGAGCCTGTTGCCTCTCTCTCGCCTGCCACAACAACAACAACAAACAACAACAACAACAGTCAATGAGTACCACACACAGCAGGTAACGTATTCTCTAGCCACAGGCGGCGAGACAGTAAACAAAACTGGATTCAGGTCACAACTGAATACATTACGTGTTCTGTATATTATACTGCTGCATATGTAAGTGCATATGTAAGTACATACGCTGTCGTAAGAATGAATGGCGCAGTTTTGGCAACCAAGAACAGAAGTGTCAACACACATACTTGTCATGTAACACAGAGTTGGTCTATTGTTTACATACGGAAAAACTGCACGGTTCAGACGACTATACATAGGTAAGCTTGCTGTACATCACACTCCACATGTACGTACGGAGATCATATTGGACTCTATTTCAAGATTCCATGGACATAATGCAGTGGTATATATAGTACCCAGTAAAGCAACATACGGAGGTACACATATTGGACTCTATTTCAAAGATTCCATGGACATAATGCGCTGGTATGTAGGACCAAGTAAAGCAACGCCAATCCTTACAGTGTGGGCCTTTGCTCTCTCTTCCTTCAGTTTCCGGTCGTCTTTCAACAGAGCCACCAACTGTTTGGCCTTCTCTCTCACTGCCACACATGGAGAGAAACAGACATCATATGTACCACGAGACTTATGTACATACGCCACACAAATCCTCTACTGTCTAAAAAATAGTTACACAGCAAATCCATGAAATCTACACTTACATGTGTTTTCAAAGCCTGAGGGCCATTGTATTGTGGTGTTCCGAGTGCAGCGAAGATGCTACGTGAATGGCTCGAAGGCTTTCTAACACTAGTAGATTTTAGATGCCTAACTTCGCATTCGTTTAGTTCGCATTCCAATTGACGCACACTTGTTTTTATGCGCGTGTGGGTTGCAGAGAAAACGGCATAGCGGGCCACTGGTAAACTCGTACAAGATATTTAGTCAACACATTTTCATATGTGACTGTGTACTAAGCACGTATGTATGTGTATGTAATGAAGTGTACTACATATGTAATGTACACATGTGTACCATTGGCTCCCTGGTCCTTCCCGTCCTTGTCGACGTACTGGAAGTCTTTGAGGGTCTGAATGGAGAAAATGTTGTCCTTACACTGCTGCGACACTCTCTCTGAACCTCCCTTGATGATGTACTCCAGGACTGTCAGGGACTGGAGGAGGGAGAAGTAGGAGAATGGTGGATTAAAATTAATGGGTAAAATAGCCATGTGTCCCGTAAGGGGGGGCAGCTAATTTGACCGAGGTCCTCTGGTGTGCGATGTTTTTCACAAACACTTTGGACGCCATGGATATCTGCTTAAATAAGCAGAAATCGATGTATAAAGTATTAGTGCCTAGTATTGTAACCACTATATAAATTGTTATGGACTTATGGAGGCTCTGGACACATTTATGTGTCCATGCAGAAGTCCTAAATTGACACGGTGCAGTCAGTTTTCCCAAAGCTGATCACAGCACCCTAATTCCATATCTCTACTTGGCTCCAAATCCCAACAGTCCCAAGTTGTTCTGAACATTTCCCCAACCACATTCCCTCCATTACAGCCGCATTCCTCTGCAGTATCACACACCACATCCTCATTATCCATAGCTGCACCATACATACATCCTTGGAAAAAGGAGCTGTCCTGGGTGTAGTTGACTTGTTTGTTGTGCCTTTGCCTTTCTAACATGTACAGCAGAGTTGCCCTGGTAGCTCAGTTGGTAGAGCACTGGCCTAGACTGTAGAGTGTCGTGGGTTCGAATCCCACCCATGGCAGCTCTTCTTCTTTGCTTTCAAAAGAAAGAGCTGTCCTGGGTGTAGTTGACTTGTGTGTTGTGCCTTTGCCTTTCAACCTCGTAGTTACCCATACAAACCATACATCTACAGTAGAGCTAAACTGTAGCTCCAGTCCATCGCAACACACACACACATGTACTCTTGATACCTTCTAAACATGTCTCTAGTTCTTTAGACATCTCTATCATGAAATTCTTCATGTGCAGTATAAACGATACACAAAATAATTTTTAGCCCATACTCTGTACACATACATGTACTCTGCATATGTACTGTACATACATACAGTAGCTCCATACATGTACTCTGCATAAGGTACTGTACATACATACAGTAGCTCCATACATGTACTCTGCATATGTACTGTACATACATACAGTAGCTCCATACATGTACTCTGCATAAGGTACTGTACATACATACAGTAGCCCCATACATGTACTCTGCATAAGGTACAGTATATATTGCGTACCTTGTAAACATGTCTCCAGTTCTTTCCGTGGTCGTTGAGTCTCTTCCAAAGCATCCCCATTACCAGACTGTACGCCTGGCTGCAGACGGGGTTAACGATATTCATTGATTGAAAACCACAATCGTTTCAGGCAGATCAGATTGTCCACTAATATCTACTCTGCCACTCTAACCTTCTCCAAGTGAAAATTGATATTTTACTCTACTATATAGTAGCTTTGTTCTCTCTTCCACATGGAATGTACAATACATTTTGAAATCCCCATTTCAACATAGTTGATCTACAACATAAAAGCGTCTTGAAAACGAAAACCTTTGAAAAAGGATTACAATCAATATCTGACGTTCAGGAGATGATAAAAGATCTAGATCAGGATTTTGATGTCCCAGCAATACATGAGCAGGGGACCACATGTACACATATTATAGTTTTGCCTTCCCTTTTCCCATACTTGTCTTTCTCTCATCTCCTTACTTCTCTTTCTTACGCTAGGTTCACAATATTGCGCCTTGCCACGTTGCAAGGATAGAATCCATCTTCACAGCACCATGTGACGTGGCACGGCGTGATGGGGCAATGCGGCGTATTGTGAACCTAGCCATACGAACACATGTGCAGCGTTGCGTGGTGCCGCAAAGATAGAAATGGATTCTATCGTCGCAACACGGCAAAGCGGCAAGGCAATGCGAACCCATCCTTACTCACACGTGGAAGGTGTAGTCAGCTAGTTCGGTCATGACTGCAGAACTTGGACCCCAAGGATCATTAGATGTAGCTTCTCGGACTTTGGCCTCTGCATCACTGTAGTTGTAGACCACATTCTTACTGTGGGAAGAGAGGGAGGGAGGGAGAGAGAGGGAGGGAGGGAGAGAGAGAGAGATGAGACAGAGAAAGTGTTTGCCTGTGGAGTTTTACTTTGTAACATAATCCAAAGTGTCACCATTCAGTTCAGAGGTGCGTAAGTACAGTGGAACCCATCTAATCCAGACACCAATTGGACAGAATAAAGTGCCCATAGTAGTGAGTGTCCTAATTTCATTGATTGTAAGAAGTGTTATTGCCTAAAAAGGGTTATTGGGTAAATAAAAGGAGTCCTTATCAGAGATGTTTCTTCATAATCCTCAGAGAGGGGGTTGTACTGTGCAACATCAAATATATACTTTGTGTTAGTCACAACGACTGTTGTGTAAGTCACGTACAGGGTTTCAGCCCCAAAAGACCACAAGGACAGGCAGCAGACACACGCAACAGGAAACGCAGACAATATTCTCAGGCAAGCACCACGTACAGCCAGCATGGCGTACTGAACTGTCATTAATCTCGTGATGTGCAATAGCTACTTGAGCTTTAAACACTGGTTTCCAACGGTTATTCATTTTTCCTGGTAGACCAGCAAGCTTACTGTGCATGTGTGTGTGTGTGTGTTGAGCGTTTATTTCCATGTTTGCATGCCACTCAGTTACTATGACTCAAGCTAGCGGAAGTCCACACGGAATGTTTTTAACTGGAGAAATGCACAAAGGATGCAACACACAGAGCAACTAATGTCAGTCAACACATTGCAAACTGGGTACTATATAAATGTGGTGTTCTTGAATATCAGGCGTGTCGTAAAAAGACCAGTTTGTTAAGCGGTGCAGGAAGTGATTTCAACACTTAACATTCCCTCATTCATACCTTAACACACATGTACACAAACACACAAAATGCCATACATGCCCACTAATGTTGAAAGTGAAGGTACAAAGAAATGATAAGAGGTGTGTTTCATCTTATACTCATGCTAAAAACATTGCTCCTATATACCATTCTTAGACTACTCTTTACTATCCCTATCTCAGCAGTGGCAGTGTAAACACAGCTCGGCCCTGTGTGTACCACTAGCCATTTGCCATAAAAGACTGGCTACATTGTGCAACATGAGAATAAAGTTGACACACACACACTCTCGCTCACCTTGTCCCAAAACGAGACGTTCGTGTCTTAGTACACCGTAGCTGTCTACAATACACATGCAACAGGTATGTGATGTACCTATATACATACCAAAAGCTCTATCAAACCAAAAACTGTCTTCCTAGCACGTAAATGTGCCCGCATGCAACAGGTATGTGACAGCAGGATATATTAGGTTCCTAGTGCAGTGTCAGTATGTGATGACAACATCAACTGTATATGCAGTGCCAACGCAATGGACGTGCGAAACCACTCCACCCCATTATTTACACCACGCCCTTGCCAAGCCCGCCAAACAATTATAATCCACTTAGAACTCTTTGTAACTGTCTTAGCATCGTTCATTAGATAAACATGGGTGGGTTATAATCTGTTTCAGCCCAGATTGTAGCTATGTACTGTTTCAGACACAGTGGTCTCCATGCCATCATGTGCACCATGTAAGTGTATAGCTACATGACATGTGAAGTTTGGTCAACTACTCTACTAAAACTGCTGGTGAGCCGCTAAATTTCAAACCCACCGCCCCGGGGCCCTCCCAACACAACGCATGCATGTACACGACTTACAACTCTCGCTTGATCTTGGACGCCATATCCGCCCGTCTCTATCCTGCGTTTTCACGACTTTCGCTGCCGCTTTGTCGGTCCTCTGTCTACGAGTCTCTACCTCCGCGGCACAGTACCAGAGTAGTATAGCTAGTTACACACTGAAAGACGCCGCAAACACACGCCCCAGCCCATTCCCTCTCCTTTTTTGGAAATTTCGTATGACGTCACGGGATACGCAGTCATGTATAACGCTTAATTAGAACGATGACGTCACGTATGCGCATGCGTATATTCGGTTGGAACCTTTATGCACAATAAATAGACAATTTGGTCAGTGTGTATTTTAATTTCACAGAGTTTTCTGCAGTGGTGTGGCTCTGTTTATCTCATTTGAAATTTTTAGGAGCTTCTCTTTGATTGCCTGTGTAGAATAAGGGCAAAAATTATATCACAAAAAAAATTGAGAGTTAAAAATTGCAAACCTTGTACTCCTGGTACTCCCTTTGTCTGGGCTGTCGGTCATCCCTTGTTGCTGCTCTGTTATATTATCAATCAATATGGACATAATGTACAATGATAGGAGAGTTTTAAAACGGTGGACAACAATGGCTACACACTACAGCAGAAACCTCGCCTAGACATCCTGAAATGAGGACAGCTCCCCTACCCCTTACACACCTTCTCTCCCCAAGAACAGTTTATTACGTACACATGTAACCATGTAAGGAAAGGACACCTCCCTAATGTGAACACTTTCACAACTGTTAAGACCAGACGGGTTCTACTCTATAATTATTACAGTACTACTATAATAGTGAACACACCTGCCGTGTTCCGACAGGAAATCACTCTCGAAATCTCTCAGAATCTTTCTGAGCCTCTTTTTCTCAGCAAGAGCTGATTCTTGTTGTGCAAAGAGCTCACTCCTATAATTATGATCACAGGATAAGCACCACACACTACGGTCACAGGTTGTGAAGAAAATACAAGTTGTATCGAGAATGCCCATTCTGTTTCTCGCGAGGCCAATAAGATGTTTCGCTGCATTGTTTGATGTGCACTTGTCTTTCTTACAACCCCGGTTCATGCACAAACTGCTATTATGCACAAATACAATTTGCCACTTTTTGGTATATACAGTAGTCAGCATTATACTCACAATAATCTGCTGTGTGTATCCCATTTCTCTTCTCCATCCCTCTCTTCACAAACATCCCCTTTTCTCCCTGCCACTCTCTTCCTGACAGTGACTCTATCATTGGAGGGGCTACTGGAGGTTGAGAGGGAGGAGGAGGAGGGAGGGATGGAGAGAGAGGAAGAGGGAGCAGAGGAAAGAGAGGTAGAGTGTGCCACATCAGATGTGCTGGTAGACCTCGGATGAGAGTCCTGAAAGGCAAAGAGAGACAGTGCTAACTCATATGAAGTACATACTAGTATTAGTACGAAACATCAACGAAGTCAAAGGCAAGCAGCACAACTACACGCACTCACAAGAGGGAGGGATTGTGCAAGTCCTGATGACAGCAGTGTTATGGATGGCAGAGTGCTCTCCCCTGCTGTCACTGAGGAATATTGAAATGCAGTGTAATATATAGACACTCTAAATAAAGGACACCTCTCTATGGCGGGCATTTATTTCAATCTGCTTCTAATCAGGACAAGGACACCTCTGTACGTATTCTATGGTCAGTGTGTCGGTTATTTAGAGGCTCCACTTTTTTTAAACGTTCACACTGTGTGTGCCAAGTGAGGTTGGAGTTAAAACTCATTTTTCTAGTCACACTGCAATGCAACGTACTAAACAAAATTGAGTGAGTGAATACCTGTATTCTCAGCACTTGGCAAGTCACTGGTGCTCTCCTGCAGATGAACAGGGAATGAGTCAATGGTGACATTAATGGCCAATATTGCCAATGACCCATGTACCATACATTGACTGTGCAAATGTTGCTTCGAAGAATTGTGGATGGCCCAAACCTTTCGTACTTTTAGCAAGCATGCGGGGGGAACGACAGGTCAACCGACCATCCTGTATACTCAGATTTTGTCTATAGCATGCAGTGAAAATGGTACTGGTCCTTAATAATACCAACCAAGTGGAGGGAAGAACAGGTAAATCAACTATCTTGTATACGTACAGTAGATTGTGTCCTTTTGTTGCATTGTGGAAAACAGGGCCTAAACTTTCGTACTTTTAGCAAGCATGTGGGGGAAAGGACAGGACGATTAACCATCCTGAATACCTATTTTGTGTCTGGAGTTTGCAGTAGATGGTCCTTTTATTGCATTGTGGAAAACAGGGCCTAAACTTTCGTACTTTTAGCAAGCATGTGGGGGAAAGGACAGGACGATTAACCATCCTGAATACCTATTTTGTGTCTGGAGTTTGCAGTAGATGGTCCTTTTATTGCATTGTGGAAAACAGGGCCTAAACTTTCGTACTTTTAGCAAGCATGTGGGGGAAAGGACAGGACGATTAACCATCCTGAATACCTATTTTGTGTCTGGAGTTTGCAGTAGATGGTCCTTTTATTGCATTGTGGAAAACAGGGCCTAAACTTTCGTACTTTTAGCAAGCATGTGGGGGAAAGGACAGGACAATCAACCATCCTGAATACCTATTTTGTGTCTGGAGTTTGCAGTAGATGGTCCTTTTATTGCATTGTGGAAAACAGGGCCTAAACTTTCGTACTTTTAGCAAGCATGTGGGGGAAAGGACAGGACAATCAACCATCCTGAATACCTATTTTGTGTCTGGAGTTTGCAGTAGAAGTACAACAGTGGAGTTCACAAACTGGTTAGTGGGAAATGTATTACCCCCGTTGTTAATGGCTCATATATAGATGTGGCACACTTTAGCTACACACTACGTTCTTAAGGTGTAGCAGCAAGCAATACACCAACAATGCATACATGATCCCGAAAGTAGTAGAGCAGTATTTGTGTTATAAATGAACACAAAATTCCACTTTACTAAAGAAAACTCCCAGTGCCACCCACAGTTCTACAGTAACCAATCTATCACCTGATGTTGTCTGAGTAGCCCTGCTGCTGCTGCTGATGATGATGTCCCGCTGGAGCGGTGAGCTGACAGCAGTTTCTTAACCTCCCTGTACCTCTCATAGAGTGGCCTCATCAGCTCTTTGTCTGCCACTGTCCCCTGCCACGTGCCACAAGAAACAAAACAATAGCAGCTTATGAATGCGGAGTAGGGGCCTAGCAATACAGATACTCTGATATTTCATCATACATTCTCATAGCATGCATCTTTCAAGACACTGTTCTAAAACTGCCAAAACTGATGAGAATGTTACGAATAGAAAAAACAAAGCGTAAACATCATCCTTGGAATCTGGCGGCATTCTAGCAATACATGCAGCTGAAAATACATGTACCCATTTACACTCATTTTTGTCAAACATCTCCCACAAACTAACAGGTCTTCCGTGGATCTTCTCAAAGTGCAGCAGTGTTCTCTGGACCGAGTTCTTCTCATCCATCAGCTGAGCCTGGCTCATCTCCTGTGCGGCGAACCAAGCAGAGTTACGTATGTATGCACACACAAGAGAGAGATTCACTGTTGATACCTGGAGGTCCTCAGGTCTGCCAGAACTGGCTCTCTTTCTAGACAAACCGGTCATCAGTTTCTTTAGAGTCACCTCCAGACCTGGTGTGTGGCCTGCCACACTCTCCCTCCCTCCTCCCTCTCCCTCACTTCCTCCTTTCTCAAGAGCCTCCCTTTCTTTCCCTCCTTTCTCTGTTATCCCTCTTTCTTCGCCACTTGTTTCTTTCTTCCCTATCTTCCTAGCTTCTCTCCTTTCTGCCACTGCCAGTTTTGTAGCCTTCTTTGTATCTGCATGTGACTTGGCTTCCGTTCTTGTATCTAGCTCCTTAGTTTCTCTATCTTCAGCTTCTTTAAGCTTCTTAGCTTCTCTCTCATCTTCCCTTGAAAGTTTCTTAGATGACTCACTATGTCTATCTTTCTTCCTACTTGTCTCTCTATCTTCACCAGCTGTCATCTCACTGAGCTGGACTTTTCCACGAAATACAGCTTCTCTTGGTGTTTCCCCATCTCTGTAAGAGCCTTTCTTCTCTCGTGGCTCCCATATTGGGACAGCTACTGGGTCGTGGTGGACATGAGCAAGCAGTTCAGGTCGTGATGGTCTGAATATCTCTCCCTCTGTCTCCTCTGTCCAACCTTCTGCAACTGGAAATGAAGAAAACAGAAATTAATAGCAGAAGTAGCATTTATCCTTCATGACATAAACCTCCTACATACTGCTCAATCTTGTTTTTTACCCTAATTTTTATTCATCAATCTACAGTATGGTAATTTAGTAAGAAACAGACCATTATTAGTGGCTGAATCTTCAGGGGCAACCTCAGCTGATTGGTGATGATTTCGTCTGTGGAGTGACTTGGGAGACTGTAGAAAGATTATATTATACAGGTATGTATGCACCAGGGGTAGGTTAGCAGATATGAATCCGGAGGCATCATTATTGTGCACGAGTGTCACAGAAATGCATGCCAACACAACTTCCAATGACTATTTATGTATCCTATAATTTTGTTCTATGGGAAGGTGACAGATAGCCCAACATGAAAGCCAAAACTTGGAAATTCCCTCTGCAAGCGTGCTTCTCTTTCGTTTCTATGGGGGAAAATTTCCACGTACAGTATATGGCCATTTGTCAGGTTTCCCGAGTTATCCAGTTATCAGGTATATACATATACTACATGCTCACCTTTCTTTTTCTCTCTCGTCTAGGACTCCTTCTGTGTCTTCGTATCACTGGAACTGCCAGTCCATCCACGTCTTCTTTCTTTTGACCTTTTTCTTCTTCTTCTTCTTCCCTCTCTCCTCCCTCCCCTCTCCACTCACTCACGTGGCTGCCAGAGGAGGAGAGGTGAGGTGGAGAGAGAGGTGATAATCTGCTCCCTGGTAGTCTCCTATTGGCAGGTCCTTTTGGCCTGGTCTTTGTCAGCTGAAAGGGAGACGTTAATGCAAGAAAATTGTGATCAATGCAAACAGTATGTATCTACTTCTGCATGTGTAAGTACACTCACAGGCATCTCCCTTAAAAATATCTTAAGGTATATAGTGGCAAATAAATGTATTTCGTGGCAGAAAATGTAAGGATCGCCACAGAGTGCAATCTTAGAACCCCGCACTACATGCACGATCTTTTCGTGCGCACATTGCAAGACGTTGGCTAGCTAACATGATTACGTAGGCTTGCTTCGAAAGTCAATAATGGTAGTGACTTGCATCCACATACATGATGAAGTGTGTCTGGCTGATGCTGCTTAACTATCTGCTCCTCCTCCTCCCACTCCTGCTCCCTATTCAACTGTTGAGGTGTGGATGATGGTAGAGCACTGCCTCTGTTCTGTAGGAGAAAGTCTGCCTCATAATACATCACAGGAACCCGTGACACAACATCGTGTGACATCATGAAAACATTTATAGGATTCTATCCGATATTACACATTAAATGCTGCAGAGGGATAAACGTCACGCGATTTTTCGATAAAAAAAATTTCTGTGACTTTGCATCGGATCTCAGCAGAAAAGTGGGGAAAGACAAAATGTTTATCTCTCTGTAGGTCCAGACCAACCTCCACACCTACATACGTAGTACACACATACCAATCCCATGACGAGGCCAGTCTGTTCAAACATGTCAAAGTGTTTGTTTGCCATTTTCTTCTTCTTATGAGGTGTCTCGTTCTGTACCTGACCCTCAGGCTACACACATTCATACACGCACACAGAGAGAGAAATGGGATACTACTTTGAGCAGAGAGCCTACAACATGTATGTATACATGATACGTACTAAAGTGGCACAAAGTTGATTCAAAAATGTGTCTGAGGCTAGCTACGGTCTTTTACTGTTGTTGTTTATAAAATGTGTAATCAAACATATTACGTTTGATGGAGTGGAAGCTATGTTTGATGTACACGTACAATACCTGAGAGGGACCGTCAACTTCATCAAACTGACGAACAAGATTAGACACCCTGCCAGATTCGACAACCACAACTCCCGACCTCCCACCTTTGGACTCCGACCTTCGTGAGAACACCTGACAATGTGAGAAGACAACTTCACATGTCAAGCCAAGTGAGATGCCACCAATCTAGTCATTTGAATCGTGTATCTTCCAAATGCTGTCACCCATAGATCATGCATATGACGTGTAAACGTCACATATAGGGCAGTTCTACAAGAAATTGCTTGCATTCGCTCGCCCAGAAATGGTCACGCATGAATATTTCTGGTACTTGATCACTTCACCTGAATCTCAGCTCCACTTTCTGTCATGTCAGTTTCAACCACCACACTCTGCCTGTTCCTTCTCCCTCCCTCTCTCCTCCCTCTCCTTTCATCAGACGGTGACTCATGTCTTCGTAACTGAACTGACGCTAATGCTGTGGCCTCATTAACACCTGTTGTACTACTGTTAGGTATTGTTGTGATGTCATCTGCAGTCACGTGAGCATCACGTGATTTTTGTGGGCGTGGCTTTCTATTCTTGAGGGCAGGAGAGTTCGAATCACTCTTGCTTGGCAGCAGTAGACCGTAGACGTCTGTTTGAGCCTGTAACAAAATGAGGTAATGATGACATCGTGATTTAGGGAAAGCATCAGTCCACCTTGCCACTTGGAGGTTTGTTTGCTCGAGTTTCCATCGGCAACTGTTGTCCTGGCGATGGAGGTCCAAACAAGTATTTCTTCACGCTTCCCTCTATCACTGTGCTGATAACCCTAATTAATGAATCAAAGAACGAATTAAGTGAAAGTCTAATAAACCTTAATAATACTCAGGTGGCTGTCATAGCACTAGGGCCATAGACCACGCACCCAGAGCAATGGGCGGAACCGTTAACAAACGAACATACAATATGAACATGAGGTGTCTGTCCCATGAGACCTTAAAGAGTGGCTAATAGTATGGGTGAAGAAGGGGAGAAGAGACTAACTTGGATGATCTGGGAGTGAGAGCAGGTGAGGAGGAGGGAGAGGGAGATGTCGGGGGACTCTGAGACGTGGAGGCATGGCTGGAAGAGAAGGGAGAGAGAGAGCGACCAAGACTATCATCTTGTTCTCTCAGGCCAGGCTCTCTGGAGACAAGGGAGAATAGACAATCAGCAGTATACTGCTACATTTTAAGACCAATATTATAGGTAGGCAACCAGTATCCAAGACGTTTTTTCCTTCATTATGTCAACTCTTCTAGTTAAAACCGAGTCCCATTCTCTGTCCTGAAACAAGAACTTTCCCAAGAACAGTTTCATGCACAATTTGACCCCTGAAATAAGGGGACTTCCCCAATGACCGTATGCCTGGTCCATTAGAGTGCACAGCCCAGACCTACTTGATGCTAGGCGATGTGTGTAGACCTGTGTCACTGCTGGTCAGCCTGGCTGGATGGTCTGATGCATCTGCACTCCAGGACCTAATGTATGGTATATGTACAGAGTGTCATGAGTAGCCACTCAGATTAATTTTTCCTTGCAGTCTTGGGAGTGTTACCAAAATACATTGAACATCGGAATAATATTGTAAGATTAGGAATAGAGGTATGGGAGTATTGCAATCAATGGGACATGGGAATGAAGGAATAGGAGCATGAAAACAGAAACATGGGAGTATAGGAATGAAGTTATGGGATTGAAGCAAAGGTGGGAGCATGGAAATGATATCATGGGGACATGGAAATGGAAACCTTGGAGTATAGGAATGAAGTTTTGGTGCATGGGACTGGAAGAATGGGAGTAGAAATAAAGTATGAGGAATGCAGCTAGTGCTACCTGATGACACTGTGTTTGCCTTTCTTGACAGGTTGTTGTCTCTTGAGTGGTGTTTCATCAGGTGAGGGGGAGGAAGGAGGAGGGAGGGAGAGGGTGAGGTGGGGAGAGGGGAGTGGAGGGAGACGAGACTACAGAGAGAAGGACAGAGGGAAAGACAAATCATATTATTGAACACATGCAATGGATGGTAGTTTACACTACAGATCAGAACACAATGTACAGTTTAAAGTATGTACCCTGTAGTGGTTGTGAGGAGAAGGTGGAGTGAAGTAGAGGCTGTCAGAAGACTGGTCCATTGCCTTCATCTACACTTTCTCTCAGCGTACAACCCCGCTCGTGACTTCTGGCTTCCGGGGACAGAGGAGATCCCTTTATGGGGGTTGCATGGAAAGGATTAAATGCGTAGAACCCCTCTCTTAAGGACACCTTAAAATGAGAAACCCTTCTCTATTAACCTAACATACCTCTTTCTTTCGGATGTGTTCAGTGTATGGTTCTGGCCTGGTGGGTCTCTCTGATGACCTTCGTCCAGCTGCTACCTGCGCCGAGCCATCGAGCCAGTGGAGCGCACGGCGGTCAAGCCGATAGGAAGGACGTCGAAGTTGATAACACTCGTCCTCGTGGCACGCCAGACAGCGGATCCGGTGAGCATAGAAACAGCTCTCCGCCTCGGGGCTCTACATGTTGACGAGACTTACTGTTTCGAATGGGATGGTGATAGTACTCTGTAGATTATCCTTCACACAACTCCCAAAGTGAATCACTCTCAGAACACGCGGCGAGAATGAATTGTCGACTCGCACGCCTTCGTAAGATTGACTTTGGAAAAAAAAAATCTGAATATAAGAAAATACATAATGACTCATGACGCAAAGGGCGCGATAATTTCATGCCAGTGAGACTCAACATCACACGATGGAAATGAAAGTGCTACACATATTCGGCGACTGGAAGACAACAGTGCCCGCCGAAAGGATTCAGTCGCTTCTATCAATAGAACGCCGTCCGCGCGCGCCTTACAATCACACGACACCGAGATCGGTTCTTTCAGTTTGGAAAAAAAAAGACTGATACCGTAGGCATCTGATCGAACAACCAGAATACAGGAACAACCATTCAGAAAAATCGCTCGATTGTCGAGGTAATTCGAGATGCCAAAAGGTACACAAGTCACCGCGCGCGCAGAGCACTAGATAAAAACCGGCGCGAATCGCACAAGCCAACTATTATGCGGACGGAATTCGACCATGCTCGCACAACATGTCGCGACCAAGTCCTTCCGCCGATTCGTCCGGTCAGCGACGCGAATTGACTCCAGGATCCGGCGCCGGCCGATCTGGCTGATTGGCGGCAGCACGACATCGACGGCTGGGGCTACAGCACGCTGAGACCAGGGCGAACCGGAGAACAGAGATCGGAGCGCCGCTAGAGCAGCATGGTCTGGTCGCGCGGCATGGGCCCGGGCAGCCAGCAAAAAAAAAAATAAAAAGAGCGACGAAACCGCT